TCCACATTGTGTTGTATAGATGATCACAGCTGAAAAGTTCGAAACAAAATAATCAACTTCTCATCACTCCCTTGTTTCAATCAATTAATTAACTCTAACATTCTTATTCGATAGTTGTGTTAGATCCTTACTATTATTGGGGTTAAAACTTAACCTGTATTATCCCTACAAAAAAGATCATAACTTTTAGTTCAAGCTCTAGATCTTATTCTATTACTCCATATGATTATGTTTATGAATACTAACAGACCCAAATCATGCAACTTACTTCATTCCAGTCTTGGATACTGTTTTTCGATTTGCATTTTTATATATTATGTACATCAATTTCATAAAATTCTATATACGAAGTTGAATATATTAATTGTATACAGAGTAGTATCATATTGAATATTTTCGAATATTCTCTTTGGTCAACATTTCCACTCTGAAGCGTTTCATAGCATATAAGTATACCATTTATAATGGAAAGCGTTAATCATCTCATCTCTTTCAGTATTGATCACTACAATGGTTTTCAATATGAAGCTTAACATGTTATTACACATTGTATCTATATCTAGATTATCTAATTTGAATAGAAACAGGCTGTAATTTAATTCTCTAAGCATCGATTGATCATTCTTTCTTGTGAATAATCTATTGAATCATTTGACTCTATGTGCAGTAATTTCTAAAGAAGATAGTTTTTCACTCTATTTTTTTTTATACACGTTTATATCAATCACTACGATTCCCGCTTTAAAAATATCAATAAAAAAACCCTGTTAATGTTCTTTTTTTTTTGCATTCGCTGTGAAATTTTCAGTATCATAGTCGAAATTCCACAAATCAGGTGTAGTCACACTAAGAATATTCCTTTTTTTCGGAAAAAAAATTTTTCTTTTTTCTTTATCAAAAATTAGGTATGCACATGTTGTTTTCCAGATGATCTTACCATTTTTTGTGTGAGCTATGAAAAATGAAATTTGAAATTCCGAAATTGTATCGTTTTTCTTTTCGTGAGTGTGTGTGTGTGCGTGCATGTGCATTTGTTAATGAATTATCTCTTTTTAAATATTATCTTATTCTGAAAGGTTGAACAATAAGACTAGTTTATCTGTTAGTAACAATATTGGTGGACATTTATATAAGATGGTGAAATGTTCCTCACCAGATGATAACATTGTGTATGCTAGAAATTCATTTTGTAATTTTTACGTTAACATTTGTGTTCTCGTTTCAGTTTTCTTCTTTATCGTAAAATATATATTTTGTGCTTCAATTCATAATTTCTCTCACTTCAGATAAGCTGAGTTGGGATGAACTGTTTGAAAAACTACCAATTAAGTTGAAGCGATAACTTAATGATCCAAACACTCGGTTATTAATCAATAGGTTTTAGATTCTAACCATCCTCCTCTACTATAGAGTTATAGTAGCCCAGTAGTATTATTAACCTTCCTACAAAATATCCCCCCAAATATGAACTTGTATTCGGCAAATATTTAACATTACCTATTGATTTTTATCGACACTGAGAAAAGTTTGACATTAATTAGCGCATCTTCCTTATTCATGTAGATACCAAATGACTGAACTTATCGGGCTAAAGTGATTTCTTGCTGTAAATTTATTCCATGAAATTATTTACAATGATTTGTTGTTTATACTTATATGTACTACTTTTTTCACGATTGTTTGTCAAAATTATCATATTAGAAAATAAACTAGTTTTAAGTCATGCTTGTATATACTACACTATTATATACATGATTTCTACTATTCCAATGGTTTATGAATAATGAAAGAAAGAAAGAATAGTGATACAAGAGATTCTGGTCATTATTAGTTATGTTTCACAAGTTGATTTAATTTCAATAACATCTTTTAACGAAAGATTTAATTATTTTGTATCTTTGTGCTTTTCCGTTGTGATACCTCAAATTAAACACCCTTACACAACACATTATATATGCGTGTATATTATTGCTAAGGTTCTAACCCCCATATCTCCCACTAAAATTAGTTCCGAGTGATGTCACTAGTTCTCATACAACTTAATTGGTAGCTTAAAACCGATTACATAAACATGTAGATGAGTAATTGCATTATTATTATATTGAGGACATTATGAAAATGATTGTAATTGATTATAACATAGCTTAATAGTTAGCTGTTGTTAATAGTATTATTGCAGTTAAAATAAGTTGGTTTCACTCATGCGTGCTTTTCATAAGATGGAACACGGTTTAGTACTTACTGGTTGGTAGAATTCTTGTAATGCAATAACTATGTCCTGAGTGGATTATGTTTTATGATCACTATATTTTTTTTTACCATAGTAATAAACAACTATCCCTCCTATCTGCGATCACAACACATTATTACTATTTTTGGTTAGTGAGCTTTCTAAATGGTCATAAAATATTCATAATATTTTGTGATTTATTCATGTGAAAATTCTTATTCAGTATGATTTAAAGTTCAAGGAATTAATGACAACAGATGAATAATACTTTCTTTTTATCTTCACATATAAACTTGGTTTGAATATCATTAAATTTATTTATATGTATGATAAATAATTTAAATGTCAGTTAATGCTGGAAATTACATTTATGGATGTGGTTGCTTTTTTTCTGAATTCTAGCCGCAAGCACATACGCCGTATGTAACGGCAATTTAGATTCGTTGAAGTTATTCTTTTTGTATTATGACTGGTAGTTGTACAGTTGGCTTTCCTTGGATAGCACTGTTGAGATATCCACACTAAAACTGGAATGCAATAGTCATCGCTTCAAATATGATATCATCTGTTCAACGCTTCTTGACTTTGACTGGTTGACTAACTAAACGTGAATAGTGGCTCTCTAATTATGACGTTAAAGGTTCCAACTCCACTCCACCTACTTCAGTTTGGCAAACCGATTAGCATCAACACTTCTCATGCCTAGAATGTGAATGAAAGCTAGGTGACAAATATGTACTTTATAAATGAGTTGAATTAAATTTAAAATAAGAGTGAGTTTGCGATGTAATTTGTTAAGACAGTATCTTATTGTTCATGATTTACACATATGTTTAGTCGAAACTGAAATAGTTATCAACGAAAGATGATAAACTGTGCTTGTTTAGCTTTTTTCGTATTATTTTCTATTAAACACTGATATTTTTTTACGTGATTGGTAGTGATTTTCAGGGTCATTTGATGCCCCTTTCATCTTGTCAGTTGTTAAGCTGCTTAAAGAAATGCTTTTCTGTACTTGACGTTTCTACACGGTTACTGTTTGCTAGCTTTTCTGCAAGCGATTTTTTTTTATGTTTTTTCAGTGAAGAAAAACAAGATGATGCAATTTCTTACACAATAACAGCAGTCGTCCTTTCGTTATCGTTCATTATTATTATTATTATTATTATTATTATTATTATTATTATTGTTATTATTATTACCATTATCCGCGTGTAATATAATTTCAGTTTAATCTATTTAATCAGTGTAATGGTTCGTCGTTTGAACAGTGAACAAAACAACAAATGAGTAATTGTGCTACTCAGTTAGTGTTTGTGTGTGTGTGTGTCTGTTTTAATTCTTTGACGGTTAGCAGTTAAAATGTTATCTTTTAGTTTTTAATCTTTTGTTTCACATTTTTGTGCAGTATATATATGTTTCATATGTTCATCACTGTATGGGTTTCCAATCATTTGTTTTAATTGTTACCATAGTCCATTAATAACTTCAGTACTTAAAATATTCATTTCAATTTGTCGTTGAATGCTGGCTTTGTTGTTAATGAATTCAAGTTTCAACAATGAGACTGTCGATTCGGCTCCCCCACCACAGTCCAATCCAATTACATTGAATTATGTAATTGAATAAGAAATGAGGTTCAAAGTCCACCTAGAAATCTTATATTTAATTACTAAGGTACATTAGTTAATTATTTAATTATGTCTAGAAAATGTCAGTGTCTTCAGTTCTAATAAAGTAGTTGTAGTAAATGCAAAATGATTGTTTTACTGTTGAAGTCCCAAATTAAAATGAAATAGCTATCCAGTACTCCTTGATTTCATAATAGATTGGGATAGAAATTTACTTGTAATTTGTCAAATATGAAAAAAAATCAAAATCCAAGGTTATTTTTATAGAAAGAATCATAAGTCTACCACAGAATTCACAGGTTTTTCATTATTTGATTAGCTAATTAGTTTAAAAATTAAATATTATTGGTTATTTATTCTCTGAAGAAGTGGCTTACACTAAGTCACGGAACGTCAGAAAATCTAATTTTTCTACTCATTGGGATGTTACAAATATATTATTTATTTATTTACAACAATCTACCCAATGTTCAATTTATTCGAAATTATCAAATCAAACTTAGGTAATGATACCTAGTTTGAAAATTATTGACCTACTGCACTATACCCGATTCTGAAGCTTAAACGAAAACCTTATTATTACTGAACCGGACCACTTGGAACTCTCTCTCCTTGTACAAATGACTTTATTCGTGTTATCATTTGCACTGACTTTCATTTTACATAGTTATCCCGTTTTATTCCCCTTATAACTTATTCTTAATTTCACATTATTTCCTACAAGACCCATCATCTACTCCTGAAGAAATTGTAATGTAGCAAGCTAAACTTATCAGTATTTTTATCAATTATTTTATGACCCAGGTTTTTTTTACAATAAACTGTTTAGGGTTTCAGTCATTTAATTATTATAATCATTGGATTGAATTGTTTCATGTTTATGTGATACATTTCACTTAGGTAAAACGATTCTCTCGTTCTATCTGATGCGTAAGTTTCGTGGGATATTTGCCACAAATTTCTGGCTATTTCACAGTTTATTGCGTGCCTGATCGCTTTTCGTTTATTTGTTTTCTCTATGGCTATTTGTTTGTCTACTTCTAGATTGATTTCAATTTTTCAGTTAAAAATGATTCATTGAAAAAAGACATCTACCTATTTCATTTCTTTACTCTTTTCTCGTTTTCTTTCTCTATCAGCGTAATTGTTGGGTTCAAGATTTATTTTTGGATTTACGTAATGGTTACTTACTAGTACGTTTATTGGAGTGTTTAACGAATGAAGTATTGGTAAGTTGAATATGATAAATCAAGTACTCTTCAATCTAATTAGTACATAGTTTACTAACTCCCACCATAGTTTTTTTGTTTCACCAAGGACTACAATTTTCTCCAGTTTATTGTTCGTACTCCAATTTACAGTTTAGGTAATACAACACTCAACGATTAAGTCATTGGTCTCCATACTTTGTTCTGAGTTGCACTGCTTAACTGCGAATATTTACCCAGTTCGTTTAAATTGCAATTCGGTAAAAAAGTTTATCTCTTTAGTGAGATTCTTGTTTTAGACGCTCTAAAGAATTTACGTTTTACTAAAACGATCTACTGTTCAAAATCCAGTCTATACGAGTCAGTCAAAGAGTAACTCAAATGTAACTTTTCTGGCCATGATACTTAGTTTTGTATATTTGACAAATATGGTTTTAAATTCTACAGGTAATCTCTACGTCTAGTCCTTCCTGTCAATGTTCTCCAACTATTCTTCTGCATTCCAAGCTATTGATTTCAATCAATACTTTTCTGGTGTCTAACATGTGGCATATGAGTTAAAACCATATGATACTTCGTGCATCACTAAAATAATAACATACATAAGTTCTAGCTAACCATGGTTTCTGTCTACAGTTAAAAAGAATTTAAACTATTAAATATATAGATCATCAAATTTTAAATACTGGTTGTTTAACTAACATAATTACTATTTATTATTTATTTATTTTAACACATAAATATTAGTACGAAGGGGCACCGAATACATGTGCGCCACACAAGCCACCTGATTTGTGTGTGGGCTGTGATACTGCCCGGGTTCCCAGAGCGAAGCAGGTGGTTTACTTAGAGGAGGACACACTCGGATCTTTTGACCTAAATATCTGACCCATAAGGCAGTGGAGCGACTTCAAGAGATGCGGTCCCATGGTAGCCAGTGACCAATAATTGGTTCATACACAATTTGTTCCCTCAGAATCCTGGGGCCCATGTGCACCATTGGTTTGGGATGAGGGTTTTCAAACTCCCCTAGGTGGATCCTCCATATCCACCAACCCGATTAAAGCACTGAGCATTCGCTTTTCGTTCTCTCAATTTCGTAAACAACAGTGATGCCGCGAGAAGGTAGTCAGTTGGACTTCCCTGACAGCGGCTGTATACGCATGGCCATGTGAGAGCATTTGGAGGGGAGAGTTAACTCTCCTCACTCTCGGCCTTACCAGGGTATTTGGGGGCTGTTTTTTATAAAGAGGTATTTATTTAGGTCTAAACACTTACGTGTTCAAATATATTTGGTATATGGCTTACAGTGAAATTCGAGATGCACGTTTGATCGTATTAGCAAAACATGTGAGTTGGATGTACTTGTATTCGAGTGTTGATGTTCACACTGAAATTCACTTCAACCAACGTGTTATACACTAAGCTACTGAATTTAAATAGCCCAACAAATATGAATGCGTTAAAAAGGGTATATATTTTCGCGTTGTTGATATTTACTACCACAATTAATTAGTTTCAGTTGTAGGATGTCCACCCCGATCCGGTTACCTCAATCATAGCTCTTTTATTCACGAGTTTTATTACATTTGATCAATTATAATTCTCATTATTAATAACAATATGAAAGCACAAAAACCCTACTCATATTAGATTATTATTATTGGACTATTTATTATATGACACGATATAACTTCAAATTCGCTTAATTCATAAGCTTATATATGAATATTGTATTACATTCAATAAAAATGAAACTGAAGTAACGACCATTCAAATGTAACTGGTTTTACGTTATAACTCATGAAGTTTTCTTTAGTATTCTCATTTCTAAATGGTCTTATAACACATTAAGTAGTATGTAACCTTTTTTACCTACAACATTGTTTATCTTTTCTTAAGTGATAATTTTCACAACAAGAATAACAAAAAACGATAACGGTAATATTTCAATAATGAATGAACTTTCTGGTTTATATAAATATTTATTCAACCACACAGTTGTTTTGTACTGATTAATTTATTAATTATTTTTATTTCATAGGGGCTTGAATACATTGAAAGTCGTGTCCATTGGATACAAAATATTCAACGTGTATTAGATTTTCTTCGATATCGTGGGTAATTTTTTGTTCTATTTTAAATTTGCCCGTAAATTTCCTCCTCTATTTTTGATTTGTTCTTTCATTGTCAAATTAACAAAATGAGGAATACAAAAGTCAATATAAGTGATACCAATGAAATTGAAATACTAAACATATGAAATATAATTTGTAGAGAAGTGATATACAAGTATAATGAAAGTTATAGGATAATATTTAATTTCATTATATAGGAGAGGATGGAGAATGAGATACATTTGTCTTGTTATTACTGTTTTGACATTAATCATTCATCTTCAGCACAAGAGAGCCAGTTGTAAGTTAGGAAATTGGTTTCGCACTAGTTTAGTAATTCTCAGAAAGGTGCACATAAGATATTTCTTTTTTTTCCCTATTAATTAATTGTATCGATATGATAAGGTCGGAATGCATTTTAATCGAACTTTATAATCCATAGTATTATTAATTCGAAATTCTTGTCAACCTACTGCAGTTAATGACACTATTTATTTATTTTAACACATAGATATTGGTACAAGGAGGCACCAAATACATATACGCCACACAAATCTCATTCGATATGTGTGAAGGCTGTGATACTGCCCGGGTGCCCAAACTGAGGCAGGTGGTTTTCTTAGGGGGCCACTCCCGAGCCTTCGACCTGAAGGTCTGATCCACAAGGCAGTGAAGCATCGTAAGGAGATGCAGTCCCATGGAAACCGGTGACCAACAATTGGTTCATACGCCATTCGTTACCATAGGATACTGGAGCCCTTGTGCACCATTGGTTTGGAATCCGGTTAAAGTGCCGGACATTCACTTTCGTCCTCTCATTTTCGTAAACAACAGTAGTGCCACGAGAAGGCAGTGAGTAGGACTTCCCTGGCAGAGGCTATATACGTGTGGCCGTGTGAGAGCATTTGGAGAGGGAGAGCGGACTCTCCCCATTCTCGGCCATATATAGGGCATTTGGGGGAAGTTAATGACACCTCGTAAACTGATTGGAATACTGCGTTCAATACCTGTCGGCCTTCAGATTTAGTTTTAGAAAAATAACAAACTTAGTTATCTCAAATCTTACTTTTCATTAATTTCCAAAAATGTCGTGTAGAATAGAATTTGGATCATATTTACACTACGTGCTTGAAACGTACTGTAATATATATATATAGGTCAATTAGGTGTCTTCATTTATTTCAGTTTTTCTCTCTATCTCGATGGTAACACTATAACTCTAGTTGTCATTCAACATTTCTCACTACTTTCTAGACATTCGAAGTATTCATTTCTCAGTCTATATTAATGGATATTTTTTAAAAATAGGTGGTAATAACATTCTATTTTAACTGGCAAAACATTAAATAAATTTTGTTGATTGTAATCGCTCGTTTGATTCACTATGACTAGTGTAGATGAGTGGCAACTACTCACAAATCCAGATGATTGTCCTCAAAAAGCTCCCGGTGAACGGATATAAAAAAATAAGTTATCGTTTGGCATTCTTGATTTTTCTGACCAAGATGGTTTAATTGTGACGCTTTTACCGCCGTTAAAGACATCACTAACTTATACTTCATATATAAATGAGCTTCTTCATAGGTTCTGCCATTTTATTTGTCTTTACATTCCTATTGACTTTTTGCTCGATTAACCTCTGACTATGTAGATGATTTAATTTTTCGTATGAGCTGAATAATCAGATTTGTCTACTGATTGCTTATTGATCTAAATGCTACATTCCTAGAAAGTATAATTTTTTCATCCCAGAATCTTAAAGTTTTCTCAGTTGAATTAATGTCAATGGTTGTATCTGTGCATTGATATTAATGGTAAAGCATCGTGTCGTTTCAGTATCATTTCCTTCCGTTTACTAGTATATGGAGGTAGGGTTCAGTTTATTCAATGTACTATTTCTCACAATTAATACAATTTATTTCCTAGATAATGGTGCATTTATCGTTGTTATATCTTTCAGTTTACTTAAAATTCAATGAAATAATTGCATTGGTTTGAGGATAATATTTACTCCACAGGGTTTCCAAATCCTAGTCGTGATTATTTTGAATTTTATTAAACTTGATTATTGCATATTTGTGTTTCAATGAAACATGAGTCACTCCATATTAACAAAGTGGTTTAGGTATACATAAATTTTTTTCACACAAATAAACGTGTTTAAAAGTCATTTAAAATGTCAATGATTGTTAGATATGGGTTTTGTAGACCATTCATGAACCGAGAAAATTAAGTCGTAATTATTAGACTTATTTATTGCTCACCATATCACATTTATTAAAACATATCTTAACTACATATTTTACATACGATTATACGGTTATATATATATATATATATATATATATATATATATATATATATATATATATATATATATATATATATATATATATATATATATATATATATATATATATATATATATATATATATATATATATATATGCATTTAATATAAGAATCATGTAAATGACCTAAGTTACTGAATAGAATTATAAACCTTTTTATCAAGTAGAATAGTTGAGATTCCTTTATATTTATTGTCTTTGATTATGTCATAAATCGTTGATAAAAGGTCTATTTTTCTTTTAGCTAGAAGTACAACATATTCTTAATCCATAAATGTTAATTTATATTTGTAAAGAGCATTGCACCAATAAGGGGTAGGTTATAAGTTCAATCCTTATTAATCCACTTACGTTACTTTAAGGAACTGAGCAATAGTATCTTTAACCCTTACATAAATTATATTTGTTCTAACCTGAGTTTATAAATCTGTACTTGGTAAATAAGTTATACTAATATTGTGAATTTGTTATAAATTGTGGCATTGTGCCCTATTAATATATGACGTAATGATACTGTCCACTCGAGAACAGTGATTTATCAACCGGATCAATGATGCGTAAAATAGTACGAACAGTCTAGAGTCTTTATCGTTTCTTCTTCCTGCCTACCCGTGCCTATTAAATCCAGAACACCAATCTCAGCTTCCGTGATATAAATCATGTATTTCAAACGTACTGAGGTTATATACAAACCAAATAGACTACATCGTACCATAAAATAGAAAATAACATTTGTACAAGATCTAGCCAAAAGTGGCTGTGAATGTGGGAGACTAATTAATAGACTGGACATAACTCAAGAACGGTAAATCGTATAATAATAATTTATAGGTCAAAGTAAAGCCTGTAATATGAAGAGTATAGATATACATAATCTAGATACTAAATGGGGTGTGGCCCCTTAAGAAAACCACCTGCTTCGGTTTGGGCACCCGGGCAGTATCACAGCCCTCACACATATCGAATGAGATTTGTGTGGCGCATATGTATTTGGTGCCTCTTTGTACCATTATCTATGTGTTGAAATAAACTAATAATAATAACAGATACTAAATAGTTAGTTATACATTAAGAATAATAATAATATTTGCCCATAAATAGTTCTCGATAGCTACCATTCATAATTCTCGCCGGGATAAAACAGAATGGCACATATAAAAGAAAAAGATTGAGTCAATGCAACAGTATTAAGAACAAAATTTACACATTATCTTTCAAATTTTGTAAACCTTATTATTTACAGACTACTACTTTTTCATTATTTGTCTTTTCCTATTTGTTTGTCTTTTTTCGGTTTTACCACATATGTTGCCCTTCTATTATCATTAACTTATCTTTATCCATTTTTTCCACATATAAAACCGATGGTTAGAGACCCTGAATGACATGGCTCAAAATCGTTTGCAATGGCGCGGGTGCATACACTCTTTGTGTTCTCCCAAATTTTGATCTCCTTATTCCTCCTTGTCTCTTTTTTTCTCTTCCCAAATTTATTTCACTGTATTATACTCTTTAAATAACATCTCCAAACACTAATTTTCCTGATTACTGCTTATACTCTTATAACCTTTTCCACTACGGGATTTGAATCGACCACTGCATCTGTGTGCTAATGTGGTGTGGCAACTCGAACTGATGTACGTACGTACAAAGTTCTACGTTGTTACTGACTGACTGACTGACTGGTATTTAAAGAAGTGAGAGTCTTAATAAATACTTGATTTTTATTTAGTCCTTTAATTAGTGCAATCAACGTTAGAGCCTAGCGCTGATGTGGATTAGCCCAAATCGTCATACGATGAGATGAAAATAATAAGGTAAATTATCTTAGTCAACAGAGATCTACAACCTGATCAACTGATCTCCCATCTTTGCCTAGTAGTACCCTGCATCTGGCTTCCATATTGGTTACACGGTTGTTCAGAAAAACTTGAACAGTGCTTTGAAGACATCTATTTTCAAGAAAATGTAGCCTACGCATATAGTCTACTTTCAAAGAATAAGTTTTATGTTTAATTTTCTAGACAAATGCTATCAATTTTATATTATAAGCTTCTTTTACTATTTCATTATCATTTTGAAATTAACATGTTTTGTATTCATTTTGTTTATGTATTATTTTCTCCCATTTAATTATTTTTAAAAATCATAGATACGCATAGTGAATATTCGTGCAGATGAAATCGTCGATGGTAATCCCAAGTTAACATTAGGCCTTATTTGGATTATAATTTTACATTTTCAAGTAAGTTTACTCTCAACTTCTATTCGTTATTGTAATAAGCTGTTCATTTTTTGCATGATAAATGCTATTTTTAGGGTGTCGTGGAAATTGGTTTACTTTGTAGGTTGTATTCCTTATGAATTGGTCTCAATTGGGTTGTCATCTGAAACCAGAGTGTATTGGACAAGCTTTTAGCCCTGGTACGGAACCTCTCGGCAGTGGACACCCATCATGTATCCGGAGGTCTAACTCACGACATTTAGGTCTCACAACGAATGCTTAATTATTAGAACCAACCGTGTAGCGTTCAGTTAAAGCCTAATAAGTTCCCAATCGTATATTTATCGTTTATTGTCTCACTAACAAATACGAGAATTTCATAGTGTATTGGTTTAAATTTTTAGTGTTTCAACCATCGTAACAATGGTGGACGGTGGCGCAATTTCGTGTATTGGTTGAAGTTAGATATTAACACCGTTGGATGCCGGCTTAGTGGTCTATAGCTTAAGCGTTCGCGCGCGAGACCGATAGGTTCTGAGTTTGAATCTTACGAGGCGGGATCGTGGATGCGCACTGCCGAGGAGTTTCATACAGGGACGAAACGGCCGTCCAGTGCCTCCAGGTTTTCCATGGTGGTCTAGCTTTGATCGATTCATGAATTCAACTATTAAATTACTATAATATCCCCAAAACCCCTCTCTGATAATTATTTATTTATTACCTGTGATGTTTTGTAGTAAATATTATTGGACTAATTCAAACATTCGACTAATCCAGGTCTATTACTCTATGGCTAGTAAGAACATGAGTGCTATAATTTTCCTGAAGTGCTAGTGAGAAGTCATGATTGTTCGAATTCAAACACATTGGGAGTGAATCAGTAGTTTCTAGTGGCAATAAATGACCATACATTATTGCAAATAGACTGAATTTAGCTATCCAAATCAATGGATGTCAATTTAGTGACCTGAAGGCCCTAAGTTCCTCCCCCTCATAGGGGTCGTAAATGCGTGCTATCGAAGCGTCATATACTAGGACGAAACAGCTATCTAATACTTTTTAATTTTCAAAGGTTTTGTAACAGGAATTAATTCGTGACAAAAATTCAGATAATATTCCAGTTTAAAGCATAATATGTCTCAATGTCTTTACACATATCCTTAATCTTAGTATAGGAGAAGAATTAGGAACAAGATAGAGAAGTTGTTTTGGGAAAACCTCGGTGACTGAATGTAGTCTTTTCCGCCGCCGAAATTCGGTTTTTTTTTCCAAATAAGTGTTAAATATGCTTACTTGTTAAAGTTTCTCGTAATATTTTGTTTAAAACCCTAATATGTGTCTGTGGTGGAAACAGTTCATATAAAAGACTCTCTACTTTTGTCACCACGACATATTTGCTATATATATATATATATATATATATATATATATATATATATTCAGATTGATGTATATGAGTATGTTGACTCTGAACTGGTACAAATATACTTGATACGTTTTTCAAAGCCAAAACAAATGAATATTCCAGACAGAAAATAAAACATAAAAATATGCTTATTGCAAGAATTGAAACTATATGCCTAATGGCAAATTAGTGGGTTTCATGTCTACCAGACAAGTGAAAGAAATGGAGACAGAATTATAACTGGTTCGATAATAATCTACTTGATATTTAATACATCCGCTCTCAATATCTAGTCTTAGAAACAGTCAAACCATTAATCTAGTCTTTCTCTGTATCTGTATGAAACAGGATAAATTAAGACTGAAATACTATTGTAACAGGTTTTTTATTATTGATGGAAATCGAAGTTTTATCACGATGTAATACATTTCAAAAATCAATTATTTACTTTAATCAGATGTGACAGTAACAAACATTTAAATTTCTATCAAGTTCCGTGCATACTTTAGTCGTTTTGTTTATGGCAACCTTAAAGAGAAAAGTCTACTTAAACTAAATGAGTTGTTTAGTATTTTCTGTTTTAAATTACTTAGACATAAACAGTGTTTTTCATCAGACATATGTAGACAGGTGCGTATAATGTTTCTTCCATATAGAGTTAAACTACTTGATAGTAGTTTTTTTGATTTGGAGAAATCGTTTTCTTATTCAATCGACTAACTTTCTGTCCGAGAATTCAGTTTTATTGTTGCTTTTTTAGTAAGTTTTAATGTAAATTTAAATGTAAATTCCTTGTTTCGGACCTGTGTAATAAGCTATCATCTACAATTGAGTTTAGGGTTTTTTTATACTTGTGCCAGTATCTATATCTACTTTTTTCTAATTTTTGACTTCCCATTGTAAATCAGTCTTGTTACACATTCCCTCTACTTTCTGAAAATAATTACAGAATTCACGCCAGTTTACAGGCATGATCAATTTGATATAAATAGTAACATTAGATGTACAGAACAAACATGTGATAGAAGAAAGCTTTAAGTATACTAGTTCAGTAATTGTTTAGGTAGTACATGTATTACAGCGATCCAATGCATCAGCCGGGAGCTTTTAATATTTCTTAAATGAACAGCCTGTTGATTTATGAACGGTGTAATTAAGGTCACTTCGTGTGGCAGATCGAATTAATGATAATTATCTACAACTAGAGAAATTAAAACAAAAACAGAGAGCACGGAACAACAAAGCAGTAATTACCAAAATATATGAATCAGGTCTACCTAAATGCGTGTGTCATGTGATACAGTGATATACTGTTGGTGTTATTCAAATTAGTTAAACTTTCTGGGCACGGTGTTACCATAAAGTGACAGCAAGTAGGTGGTTTTACTTAGGGAATGCACTAATAAAGATGGCTAAGCATTTAAAGTTCCTATAATATCACTTGTGGAATGAGATACACTTACAGGTGCTAGAACATTCAATGCATTTTCAGAGGAGCAGTATGCATCGGTGCAGCGAACAAATAATGGGAGTGATTTTATCGTACGGATAGATTGTGGTTGGTTATTCCAGAGTCTAGAAAATTTACAGGTAAAGTGATTCATATAAAGAGATGATTTAGAATAAATTTGTTCCACTAGTGCCAAGGAACTACGGATGTCATAATGAGAAGTTTCTGCATATTGAATCACGTGATTGAATGTAAAGGATAATTTATTAAGTAGTTTGAAGAAAAAGATAAGATTTAGTTTGAGTCTCCTCTTCCATTAAGTGTCTAGCCCAAGTTTTTTACATCTAGAATTATAAGTATAAGGTACAATCAGCTCCAAGAATACGAAGTGTAAATCGTCTCTGTACTGATTCCAGCCTTAATTTATCCTTGATGCGCTCACTGCTAAGAATAAACGTGCAATATTCTAGAAGAGGTCGAACACAAACTTTGTACATTATAATACGTGACTCATTGTTATAAAGGTTTCGAGTTATGTAACCTACTAGACGTTGAGACTTAGAGGTCTGTTTTAATATCTGTTCTGTAAACGACAAGTCTTGGGAGTATCTAAGACCTAAGTCTACTACTGTATATAACCTGGATAACACTTCTCCATTTATGGTAAGGTCTAAGTTGAATGATGTATCGCCGAAGCAAATCCATCCACATTTAGCCTTATTAAGCTCCAGTTGCCATTTTAAGCACCATTGTGCTACCTTGTTAAGCTCCATGATGTTGCAATTTTGCATATTTTTCAGCTCATGTAGAAAAAATGAATTTACTACTTTAAGATCATCTGCATATAGAAGGGGCTTACCCACACAAAAACTCACAAATATCATTGATAGACAATAAAAAGAGAAAAGGGCCTAAGACACTACCTTGTATTACACCACTTCTAACATGGACAGCGTTAGACAATGAGAAGTTAATTTTAACTAGTTGATGTCGATTGCTGAAAAAGGAATCAAACCAAGCAAGCAACGGATTTTGAACCCCATAAGATGCGAGTTTACCTATAAGAAGTTGGTGGCTAACCATGTCAAATGATTTAGAAATGTCCAGATATAGCACTAAAACGAGATATTATTGGCTATGTAGAGAAAAGACTAAATTAAAGAAGTCAAAATGACATGTCATGCAAGATCTATTTTTAGGAAATCCATGTTGAGTATCATTGATAAATTTTCCAGCGAGTAAATAGTTGGGAAGTTCATCACTTATAATTTTTCCCATAATCCTAGAGCTAACTGGAGTGATATTTTTCGGCCGATAATTGTTCATGTCAGTCTTATCTCTAGATTTGTAACGTGGTATGATGCACGCGGTTTTCCAACAGTAAGGGTAAGAACTAGTTTCCATAGAGAGAGAAAACAGCTTTAGAAGAAGAAGTTCAATATCTGGACCACCATATTTGTAGAGAAATGATGAAATCCTGTCTGCTCCATGACCTCTCGAAAGCTTGAGGGTGTTTATAGCCTTATTAATTTTCACGCGTGTGAAGGATGCAGATTTTATTGAGTTGCTAGTCATTCACATAACTCTTGAAGCCACTTATGATTCCTACAATATTCGCAAAAATACCACTGAAAATGTCTGCTGTATTTTTAGAGTCGTATATAAAAGTGCTATTATTCTGGATTAAATTGCGATACGTTATCCTTAGTTTCTTAAATTTTTCTGTTCTATGTCGGTCAAACGACATAGTTTCAGTCTTTTCCTAACTTCTGGATACTCTCGGTAATTTCTTAGGGTTCCCAGTACAAATAACTTAGATTCAGTGTACTTTAGGATCGAAGAGTAAGATTTTATTGTGATTACAAGTATCTTTTAACTTTCTTCCTTATAATTTATAGTCATTATTAGTTTATTTAGAGATTAACCAATGGCTTGCTTAATCTCGCTTGTTTCATTGATGATTGTTCCGAATTCATTCGTAATTTTACTCCTTTTTCACTCCCTTCGTAACATACCTCTCTACTACTAAGCTGACTCAACGTTTTCAACCGGTGCTGGCAAACTCAAACTTAAAAGCTGACCTTTTATTCTCTTTTCAATATTTGAAATTTTGACTAATTGCATTCATTCCCTTATAGCTAAAACTTTAACATAAAATATAAATTTACATCTAGCTCTCGAGATGTTAATCCAAAATCTAGGTTTTGTCATTGTCTCATCTTTAATTGATAAGTTTGCTTTAGGATAAAAATAGTAAAGGACTCGACAGTGAATCTCTGAATGATGGTATTCTATGTAATAGAGACACGTGAGTTTTGAAACCTGAATAATACAAGTAACTACTTGGTGTTCTGATTAGTGAATGACGGAAGATGGGTGTAACTTTTCATAGGCTATCGTTTGTTAGTTTATTGAGTAACCGCAGTTTTCAACTCAGTGTTAATAATAGTAGGAAAACTTCATAATAGAATACATGCAAGAATAACGTTTCTTTCATACTCCTTCATGCAACTTGTTCAACATACCCTGAAGCTTGGATTGATGTTAGTTTCTCAACTATTATGTTTTGAGGCTGAACCCATTGACTTACATCTTCAATGATTGATTTTAAAAATGACGATGAAAATGTTATAAATGTCCATGAGTTTCCCATGTGTATCACCGTTTGTTGAAATGGCAATAAAACTTTAGTTATCTTCTCGATTGTTGAGCCTTAGGTAGAGAGTCATTCGTGTATATACCATAAATTCTGTTGTAAGATATTTCGTACCAACGATTGCGTTGTTGTTCCAAATTGTGTAGCCTGAAACCTGATCATATTAAAGTCAAATAAGTAGAGCTGTTCATAATTCTTAGTGATGCATTATTCTGATAATATATTATTACATTTTTGAAAGTCTTGTAATGTTGTTTGGGTCAATCTACTCACATACACATTCTTAGAAATTTAACAATCATTAAGTGTTCACTGGTAACTAAGATCATCTTTTATCGATTTAGTATAATTTGCATCATTTCTAGATTTGTTTTAGTGTTTAAATTGTTATTACTCTATTCATTAGTACATTACATCTTATGAAATAACTTGATCTTGTTATAGTCAATAAGATGATGAAGTTTAATACAACCTCTTTTTGTGGATATAACTACTATAATCCTACTAAAAGCCGATATAACTTGAATATTTATTTATGGTTTTTACTTATTAAATAAGTATAAGCATGGGCGTTGGCTTTTTTTATGTATATCATGATTTTATGGCAGGAAGATAGGTTAATGTCTTAATAAAGACAGAATATTAAACCTATGGCAATTTGACTAGGATTAAGAGAGGGGGTGGTCGAGGTGGAAGGAACATAGTTCAGCTGTCAGCTACGCATGCATATGGATGCGACGATCAAACCGACGGAAAGACAATATGGTATAAGATATTGTTATTATTATTCATATTATGGTAGACAATATTCATAATGGTTTTAATATTGAAAATCACCATTCTAATTGGTGTTTTATATGTATGTCTGTGTATATGCATAAATATGATCATAATTGTAATTCACTACTTTTGATTTCGTGAACGATCTGCTATAAATGATCTGTGAGGGAATGTCGATTATGTTCGTTGTTAGGGTGAAATAATCTTTCACCTCACAGAAGCGTACACACAAAAAGTTAACTATATCATATGGTCCGTTTGTAGCCAGTGTATGTATGTGCGTATGCACGTTAGTGTAATTCCAGTACGTGTACTATTTTTTAATCTTATATAGATTATCTTGGATATATTTCATGTATATCGGTTTTATTACTCTCTCTACATGTTTCTTTCTGGATTATGATTTCATGAGTTAAAACAGTTGGTGATTTACTTGGTAGGATTAATTTACCTATTGTTATCGGCTTTTTTACCTTCTAAATTGGTAAATACATTTACATTAGCTTTTTTGTGTTTTCTTAAATATGTGCTAATTGGTTATCATTCATTATATGTTGAAACGTCTATGTTATACGTGTATCAGAGTTGTTTTTCTTTATGTTTCTGAACTTTTTTTGAAAAATCAACATAACTGGTACTATTTAACTCTCTACAACTCTCCATACTGATAACTAAAACTGTTATGTAAATAAATTATTTCACTGGTCATTGCGCAATATTGTTTGTACTTTTGGAATTACAGTTGATCAGTCACTCTCTTTGTACAATTAGAGACGACGGTTGCACTATCATTTTAATTAGTCTAGAATAAACGCAAAATAAAAAACGCTTAAAATATTCTTGTTAGTTGCATATTGCTAGTCATATACTTTAGTTAATTTAGAACTAATGACATTCTACCATACAGCAATAAATAAAGAGTGGTAAATATTGTTTTTTGACATTCATATATAAATAAAAAATATACCAAGCCATGCAATTTCACAAGAATTTACTTGAATTTTTGAAAAATACTCCTATAACTTAAGTCATTTAGTTATGTTACGCTTCAGTTATTGTTATATGTTTCTACGGCTTGCTGAACTAGAAGTTGAGTCCATTGATATTTTGACTCATCCATGAGCTCATCTTGATGAAAAAAGAAAGGATAACATGTTAAGTGAAGCCTAGCTAACGGTTTAGGTGTGAACAATTCATTTGAGTTGTATATCTTGTTCAAATAAATATATATATACTAATATTTTAGCTAGTCATTGTGAAATAGTAGAGAAGGACTACTTACTTGTTCCATTTGCAGCCAATTGGACTCAGTAGTTGATTTAAGCCTTCAAATCAACATTTGAATGCCTAAACTCATGTGTATACTGATGAAACTATCAATATGTTATTTGTTCTAATACTAATTACTTCATTATAAACTGTTAAGCAATTATCTCTGTATGTATTTATTTCTTCTACTACTGTCTTTATTATTATTAGCATACAAAACCAAAAAATGCATTGACTAAAATTTTCCTCTAAAAAGTTAATTTTATTGATTTTCATGTTAGCTAAAAAGATGTACGTTTTTTGTAACTTCCCCTCTCATTCTCTCTGTATTCTGTTAGTTGATTTATTGATGGAAGCGATATAGATAAATGCATCGTTTCTTCTACAACAAAAGATAAAAATGTAGAGGGTATACTTGAAATCAATCACTTTATAGCAATAGTGTACTTTTTTCACTGGTTTGTTCTTTTTTAATTCCTATTTATATTCTCTTCTTAAATAAGAGAATAAAATAAGAAATTCAAATATTCAAAGAGTTAGATGATCCTCCCTTTTTAAAAAAATTAAAATCTTTACATATTTATCGTTCTTGTTGTTAAGTGGACGTGGTTGATTCATCCTCAGAATTAGATATGCATAAATGCCTGTGACTATAACGATGGATAGTACATTGAGGAATAGTTCAACTGGCATCCTGATACACTACTGTTATTCACTATTCGGCAACAACGTGAACCGGATATCAACAATGGACCTCCAACTATTAACTTTTGATTAACTAGAAACCACGGAAGACATTAATCTCAAATTGTTCAACTCCAAATTTCTCTTTGAACAATGATAAAGAATTATCTGTTAGATTGAGTGAAATTTATCTTGCATCCCGAAATTTCAACATCATCACCTCCTTTTTTATGAAACGACAGAGATATTTTTAGTTTGAGACTCTGGGTGACATGGCTGAGAATCGATCACAATAGCGCAGGTGTATACACTTTCTGCCTGCCCTTAAACTATGAGATCGAAATTGCTTTATATCTTTCTTTCTACCAACTAATTCATTTTTCCTGTACTATATCCTTATATACAATCTTTCTTTTATATATTACCACCACTAAATCAAATACTTCTATGAATCCTGTGTTCATCTTGTTGTGCTAATGAGGTATGGCAACTTGGACCGATGCACATATGTGCCTGGTCCTACGTTGTAGCTGACTGACTGTTTCCAAGATCTTATCTTCAATGTTAGGACCTGGCAACATGAAAGTAGATTGGTTTCAAATCTAAGGTTTTTACTAGTTTTTGAATTAGGGATATTTGCTGACACCGTAATTTTAGAGCTAAAGGTTTCATTAAATTCTGTCAATCTGCATGTCTTATGGCAGTGTTTGTCTTCGAAAGGCGTACCGAAAATGTACGTAACCGTACTCCAAACTCTTCACTTGAATACAAGGAAATTACAACCATTTAATATCCTACTTATATATATTTTCAGTAAGGGAATTTGTGGAGATTGTAGTATTTTTAACAGTTGAATTCACGAGTCGCTCAGAGTCAGACCACCATCGGAAACCTCGAAGCACTAGATGGCTATTTCGTCCCAGCATGAGATTCGTCAGCAGCACAGGTGCACGATCTCACACGTAGGACTCGAACTAAGGAACTTCGGTCTCATGCGCGGACCCTTAACCTCTAGACCACCTAGCCGGCATGTAACGGTGTTAATGCCTAACTTCTATCGATCTGTAATCTTGCGTAACCCTTCTATTTGTTTCATCATAACATTCATTGCGTACATTTTTCTTCATGTCACTTTGACCTTTATTTTTATCTTGTTCCATTTGTTTCTCTTTGCCATCCACTAAAATATATATTTAGTTGGCAGAATTAATTGAAAATCAGACAAAATTACAATCGGATCTTCGTGTTAATTTATCCATGGATAATGCGGCTAAACAAACATTACTTAGTTGGTGTCGAGCAGTCACAGCAAATTATCCAGGTGTATATATAAAAGATTTTACTGAATCATGGAAAGATGGTCGTGCATTCCTTGCCTTGATTCATCGTTATAGGTAAGTGTATTTGCCTAGAATTATATGTTTCTGTACTCTTACATCCAATTTAGTATATTTTATCTTTTGATCAACAAAACACTTGAAGGATTCAGTGGTTTTCAGATCGATCATTGTAAACATGTAACTAAATTAGAACGCGCTATTTTCTAAAAGGTATCCTACACTATCAAAACACGAAAATAACTAGTGCTTTTTTTGCTATAGAATTTCTTGTTTAAAACTTTTATGTTCCTTATAATTTGTGTTTATTTCAAGGCTATAAATATCCCATTTTTGGGAAAAGTATGTCGGAAATTATCAGTCACTTCAATAACTTACAATTGGCTTTTTAAACTCCCTTCTACAGGTTAGCATTTTAAAATATTGTGTTAGTAAATAAATCTTAGATAGATCACTGTACTATTTTTAAAAGAGGTTCTGAAGTCAATTGTGTTGTTTTTTTTAATCGCAATGTAAGTGTTATGAAACATGTCTATGTTTTTTTAATCTTTCTGACCACTCTTTAGTTAGTATTTAACCTTCTTTAAAGTTTATTTCTGATGCTAGATAGATTTAGCGACTTCGTTCGTTCTAATCACTTTTAAGCTGTCTTACGAATACACATTTTTCTTGATATAATAATCTTAATCGATTCTTGTTTCTAACTGCGTTATTCTTCAAAATTGTTTACTAACAATTTACTTTATACATTTACTGGGAGTCTACTCGATGCTAGTCACTCAGTATAATGTCGCTCTGCATTATGTCCTACAGATGATTAACCACGTCTCCATCAGCTCACTTTAATTCCTATAATTTTTTATTCTAAATAATATGGACTAGACTTTTTTCTCTCTACAAGATCACTTACACATCTTGACCATGAATGCTGGCTACCATAACTCCTTAGTTCCGTATTAAGTACAACAGATCTTTTGTGACTGAACTTAGTAAATGAATTCCAATTTTAACCAATAAGCAACTGTGCAAATTAATGACCAAATAATACACCAATGGTTGGTCAGATTGTAAGTCTTGATCACCTGAAGTTTTTAGGACATATACTGAGTAATCTCAACCGTCCTACCTTGATCAAAGATGTTGACTAGCTTAATAATAAGTCGGAAGAAAGCTGGTGGTGACTAAACAAAAACGTAGGATAAGTCTATAAAGTCGTTGAGTGTTGGTCTGAGTCATGTTCGTAGATGCAGACTGTCTGATTGGAGTCTTCACTATTATCATGACCGATAGTTGAAGACGTTAGATAATATGGCTCTGAATCAGTCCCAATGACACAATTGTATCCACTCTTTGTCTTCCCCTATATTTCTAGTTTCAAAAGTACATAAAACGTTTTTTATTCCAAAAAGTCATTCGTTTTAGAATCATGTCGTCTATACCTACTCATTTTAATATCTTTGATACTTCTTCTACTTTGGTGTTATTCACATTTTGTTAATATTATGTATAAACTTTAATCGATGCTCTGTTTTGCAAAGTTCTATGTTACTTCTTGATTGACTAGCTGAAAAAGACCACTAAATGGTTACTTAGTAACTGATTTTCATAGTATTAGTAATAATTTGTGACGACAACTTATCGTATTGGTCATGAAAACCATTACGTGTATAGACAGAGGAGATCTTTCTATGGTCACTTATAATCGAACTATCGCGTCATCCGTCACAACACCGTAACAAAATGCGCGTCAGTCAGTCATAACGTAGAACCTGTACATATGTGCATCGGTTCAATTTGTCATAAACCATCAACACAGAGATGAATTTGTCAGACCAAATCCCAGAATAGTAGGGATAGTAACAGTGTCAATGATAATATGATAGATTAAGAATCGACGATACGACTCGAAACGAATATAGATTAGCGAAAAAACAAACAAAACAAGTTACGAGGAACTTAGAACCTCAGGATTTGGGGAGAGACAAAGAGTGAATTCGTCTGCGCCGTCACAAACGATTTCGAGCCATCTCATTATAAGCCACTTATGATTGTCTACAAATATTAACATGGCTCAATTCAGTTGTCAATAACTTCGCCGACTGGTTTCATCTTTTGGTAATGTAGAGTGGAGCGAACTGTTGCTCAATAAACTCGTCCTTTAGTTGAAAGACGGTTATCTCGGCCACGGTCAAAGTGACGCAAGTTTTCAAGTTTTCTGAATCTGTGCCCAGATTTCGTCAGATACCAGACCATCAGTACTGATGAGACTCTCAAGTCAAGTGATGCGGTCGACACACTGATTTACTTCATTCCTTATCACTAATTCAGGCAATGACGCAAACCAATCCTGAAGTAAGATTTTACATTTGGAGGGTGAGAACCGCATCATAATCAGCATATACTAATGTGTTACATAGAATATGTATTTAAGGTGTATGATAAAGAAAGTGCAATTTGAAACAGACAATACCGGAATACAAAACCCAGTAGGTAGTCCAAGTCATAGGTTGACGTTTATTACTTACGTAGGCTTTCATTTTTTGTAAAATTATCTCATTATTACAAAAAACAATCTTTTCGATTTTATGGAATTTTATTGACTTATTGGAAAGTTTTATATTTACCTCATATCAACTGTAATTCTATTCAAGACTCAAGTGTTTTTTTTTTATTCTAACACTTATGATCGGTTTATTAATCAATATTCTTGATCAATTTAATTTTCTTCTGCCTATAATATTATTTGAAAGTATACATTTTTGCCTGGTTATTATTCTTGTTTTCACTTTATTTGAATCTATAATTCATCTGATGGCGTTTTCTATCATTGTTATAATTTAATATCTTTCTGTTTGTTTTAATTTAGACCGGACTTAATTGATTTTCGTCAAGTTGATCGTCAATCTGCCCATGAAAATCTTGATTTAACATTTGACTTAGCTGAACGTGAACTTGAAGTTACTCGTTTATTCGATTCAGAAGGTAAGAGTTTTAATTTCATTGTCTTAAAGGATGTTTTATACTTTTACTAATCAATATCAATCTCACATATGAATAGATTATTAAAAATAAATAAATGATGTATGTTACTAAAATGATTGTATAACCATAAGTATTTAGTTTTGGCTCTGAGACATTTTGACCAATGATCTGATAATGTATTAGAAAGATGCAGACTATATCGTTTTTTTGCTTAAAACAATTAAAAGGTAAATAGTTTCCTAAACAAATCCATAATGTTTCAGTGTGTATTTCATTGCTGTAAATTGTTAAACAAATCAATAGAATTAGTCTACTTCAAGATCAATTTGTTACACTTCAAAGTATTGTTAAGAGTTATGACTTTTTTTAAAAAAAAATAAGCGATACATGCCGTCCAGTCCTATTGAGTTTCTTTTACAATATAAATTTAAATGTTTTCTTTTCGTTTTCAGAATATTTATAAGACTTCATACTGGTTGATTATGTATCAAATCAACAAATTGATGGATTTCCACTAACTATTAAATCTACGTGAATATTATCTAACCTTTACAAACTTGTTCTTACTTTTGCTTTTGTTTTAGATATTGCAAAAACAACTGATGAACGATCGATTATAACTTATGTAGCCTCAATTTATGATAAACTAGTATGTAATTCATCAAAACATTCATTATATCCAGTACCAATTGTACCACCTATGCCTTCTTTATATCATCATGATCAAAATTCTACTAGTAGACCAATTGATTCAACTTTTCAACTTCTTAGTGCTTCTAATCAACTTTCAGATGAATTAAAATCACTTTGGTCAGATTATCGTATTTTAGGTAGTGATCTAATACAATGGTTACGATCAACTACTGATCGTATGGCTAATCGTCATTTTCCATCAGATTTAAAATCAATGCAAGAACGTGTTATGGATGAAATACGACGACATAGACGTGATGAACGACCAAGAAGAGAAAGAGAACGTCAACAATTAGTTCGTATGTATGAAGAATTAAAGGTAAAAAGGAAACGTTATTCTTCATGTGTATTAAAATAGTTCATCACAGTTCTTTCTTTTTATCTTAAGGACTTTTTTTACCAATAATAACTTCATTTTTTATGATTTACTTCATGAATTACTCTATATTAGATAACCATTAAGAACCAGGAAGTACTGAAAAGTTGTTTCTGTTCCAACATGTATCTCCTCAACAGCGCACATTCACGACCTCATCAAGAATCAAGCGCACGGACTTCAGGTCTCAATGTGAGCACCACTGAATCGGCATACAGTGAGAATGTCGCGAGTTAATTGAATTCAGAATTCCAAACCATTGGACAGAGGTTTCTCAACACTTTGAAACTTCTTGTCCACGAAGATACTAGATATTAAAATCAGGAACTTCAGATGTCATAGTGAAACGCTCAGTACCTTCAAAATGATTAGTTGAGATCCAGCTGTCTAACTTCAATCAGTTTGCTACACTTCACTATCAATATCTGTTAATTTTAAAGAAATATAGTCACTTTTTTACATATATTCTCATCACAATACTCCAAAGTGCATTAGTGATCATTAACCAGCCTCGATGTTTATTTATATATTATACAAACACTGTATTATCATAGTTTATCCCAAAACGTTTTATTAAATAATAATATCTCAACTTGTTGTTTTGTCTGGATTCATCAACATTGTTGTTCTGTCCTTTTTTGTATACTCTTATGTTTCGACTTTGAAAAAAACTAAATATATATTCAACCAAATATTCATTTTACATGCTATATATGTGCACAAAAGACGTTCAATTTGAGTTAAACAGCACATACCGTCAAATTGACGGTGTAGCAATGGGAAGTCCATTTTCTCCAACTATCCCAATGTTTTTGTGTGTTATTTAAAAAAAAAACAAAGTTTAAATATGCGATTAACGTAATGACAAAATACTATAAGTACATTTATGATACGTCAATTATTCGTAACAGCAAACGGAATGGAATTCATTTGGGATAACTCTTCAAGAAGGCACTTAACTATCGGACACGAAAATAACAACATATTCAACTTTCTAAAAATTGCTATACGACGGAGTGCAACCGAAACTTTTCAACGTTCGGTTTAGCAAAACAGCAATTAGAATGGTCCATATCTCAATTTCAGTAGTTTTTGTCCAATTAGTTTGTTGTAACGCGAAATGCTGCTGATTGGAACGCAGCGAATTATTGATCGGACCAAAGACGCTTAAAACACGTAAGAACGACCTAGAGTCCCGATTGGCCCTGCTTCCCTGTCTAGCCTAGCCAGTTGAGTCCAGAACGCAAGTCTCAGCCTCTGAGATATGAATCATTATATTTCAAGCATACTCTGTTTATATACCAATCAAGCAGACCACATCGTACCATAAAGTAGAAAATAACATTGTACAATATTGACCAGTAGGAAAACGACACGTGAAATAAATATTGACCAATAAGAAAGTAATACCGTTTCAAGCCCAAGGATAGCGTTAGACTTAATAGAATAATTTTTGGGATATTTTCCTGAATATCCTACTATAGTTACAAGAAAACACTGGTTAAAATACTATTGTATAGAGTAGAAACTAAACTCACCATTTAACACTCACAAACTGGAAAAATGGATAATTGTTTAAAAATACTTCAGGGATAACTGCTACTCACCGAAATTCATTGATAAATGTAAAAAATCTAAGACATTAAGGCGGATGTGGCCAAATTCAATAAAACGCCAACATTTATCCATCTCAACTTTAAAGATGATACGTTGCAAGCTTAATCATCAGGAGGCTTAACACTTCATTAGCCAGAACTTATCTTGCAATCAAACTATTAATCCTGTATAAAACAACATGTCCAATAATCCAATCAATGGTCAACAAGTATATCTTTCATGTTACCAATAACTAGGTCTATGAATTCAAATTTACCTGTTAAAGTAGCTAATATGTTTCCTACGCTTTTAAACGAGGGGAAGAAACACTTTAAATAGCACAATCACTCGATATCTCTTGGACATAGGACATCAGGTTTATACATTGAAATCTTTCAAGATGATCACTAAATATCCAAGTTCAAGTCTTCCAAAATTTGCTGAAGATTTCGCTGTCAGGCGTCAAAAACATGATTCATATATCCTAAAGGAATCGATTATCCGTCTTTTTCTGCCTTGGCAACACGAACCTTTCTTCATTACACATTACATAAAATCCTGTTCAACTGCTTGTTTCAATTGATGACATCACAACGTTTCTTATTTTGACTGTCTTCTAGATCAATTATCTTATTTTGTCTTAATGACCTTTACTCATTTTTTTTCTTATTCTTAGCGTTTTTCATTGTGCAACCACTCTTTTGTACCTCTATTATGTAAGTAATTTGAACCCATTTTGTAATTATAGTTTCTAACTATTACGGATTGTAAGCAACTGACGTGAATTAAACGAAATAAAATCAATCCTTGTTATTCCGCTTAAGCCACACTTCTTGCTCTCCTCAAAATAATCAAGGAAACAATGTGTATAAAATCACAATGTAAGGACAGATTGACGTTGGGGAAACAGTTTAAAACGACTTGAAAATCATTATAGAGTACTGTATAATTTTGATATATATTCTACAAACTATATATTGAATTTTGACTTCATTTAATTGTAAACATTAAACATGTTGCTTACATCTTTAAAATGTCAGTATTAGTTTGTCCAATACCTTTGTATGGTTTTATTTCCTTTGTATTCACTTTTCTAAATTTAATTTTTTTTTAACTTCTTTATATTGAACTATACTTGTCAATTTGTTTTATCAAACGAAATTTATGTGGATTAATTTGTCAAGTCATGATAATGTTTATTATTATTATTACTCGACAAGTCGCATAATTTACTTATATTACATATAATATTATATATTATTATTGTTATCATTATCATATATTGTATGTATACTTATAATAATTATGACAATCTTATCGTTTATTCTAATGACATATGAAATCATATATATATCCTGAATATTTACAGTTTCAAAAATTTGTTTACTTAATGTATCAACAAACTAGTGTTTCAATACACTTTATAACCTTAAACAGAACTAACCCAGTTCAATTTGATGTGCTTTGCAATTATCATAATAATAGTACTAATCATGATAATGGTAACAGTAATAATTATTGTTATAAACATTATTATTATTGGTAGTAGTAGTAGTAGTAGTAATGATATTAATAGTGTAGTGAACGACGAACTCAGTGAAGGAAGAACGCTTTATTGTTTGACGCAAACTTACAGAGTGCCTTCGTAAAATATGAAAACCATACATTAAATACTTTATTTGCACATCTTCCTTCAGCTATCCTTTACATGTTTCATGATTCTTTCAATTCTGTTGTTATTAAAATTCTCCTCTGTTTACATTCCTGTTCTCTTCAATTCACTCTACTCCTGCCAGACATCCCACTTCTGATTGTGTGACATACTACTTATATCTGTCAATATAAGTATCATACACCACAGTAGTAGTAGTATGTTTTTTAGATTCAGTGTTCTAGATGAATGAATTTTGTTTCATAGTTACCTGCTTACAAGTAATAAACGCAGTACCTAATGAGTACAAAATTCTTCAAACGTATTTTATGTACTCTGATATAGTAATAAGTAAAATTTGTGTGGGGTGAGATACTGCTCAGGCAGGTAAACCGAGAAAATTATTCTTCTTAGAGTAACATTTTCTAAACCTTTAACCTCAAATTCTAATTCACAAAGTAGTAGAGTAACATCAAGAGCTTCTACCTCACGGTTTCCAACGACCAAAAACGAGTTCATGCATGACTTTTTCTGTTAGAATCCTGGAACTTATGTAAACCATTGGTTTGGAACCAGAGTTTTCTAACCCCTCAGTGAACAACCCCCGTGTTGACCAGTCCAGTTTAGGCACCGAACGTTCACTTTTCATTCTCGCCTAATCCCAACTCTCATGTGAATCCACTGAGTAAAAATTTCCTTACGGAGATTATAACTGTATAGCCGTATGAGAGCATTTCGAGAGGAAAAGTAAACTTTCCTCAATCTTGTTCGTACCGGGTCATCTAGAGAAATCTCTGAATTGAACTACGAATGTATATTTCACTTTAATAAATAAATATGTTAGCTGCTCATGGCACTAAATTCATTTTTCTATGTTAGAACTTCTTTTAAGAATTCATTCTATTCATCATGATTAACTTGTCTATAATTAATTTAATCGCTTTTTGTTTTTTACATTTCAAAAAGCCATCTTTTGAACGTGGTTTACTACCAATTGATTTATTCCTTCGAATTGAACAAATTCACCGATTATGGGATGAATATGATATTGCTTTACAAGAACGTGAATTGGCTGCAAGAAATGAAACTCATCGTTTAGATCGTTTACAATGGGCTGGTAATCGAGCTCTACGTGATTGCATTCAAGTCCAAGCACAGTTGACTGCCTTAGAACGGCGAGTTGTTGAGGTTTGTAATATTTATATATCCCTTTAATACTGTTCTCTTTTTATATAAGTTCAATTTCACTATGGCTTTAAAAAATTCCTTGTATTTGGGAATGTTACTACTTATGAGGTACGCATAAATATATGCGATTGGGCTTTCTGGTACAGTATTTTGAGGTCAGATATACCCTCTCTCTATCTCTCTATATATGATATATATTGTATGCATAGTATTCGCCAGTTATAAATAACTTGCTAACTCACCCAGTTTATTATCACGAGTATATTGTGTTAAAAACGTTTTATAAGGGTCATCCCATTCGTTTTTATCGTCATTATTATTCACATTGTTCATATTATTTTTAATACCGACACATTTCGTCTATCGATCCCGTGTACTATGAATAAATAAGTGCAAATTTACAGTAGATCAAATTATCAATTTTGTTCCATACTGAAATCAAATTGTTTTGTACCTTTTGAACTAAAGTGAACAGTTGCCAAACACAAGGAAATAGCGAAAAGTTATTATTTCCATCTCTCCACTTAACCTATCTGCCTATTTATCTATCCCACTCATCCATCCCTTTGTACAGATCCAAAAATTTACAGTTTACTATAATCATAGATGCATAAAAATTATCGTAATTAAATCAGATCCAAATTCCCTTTATTTTATTATACAAAATTATCATTGTTCACTAAAAGTTGACTCATTTTAACTTCATGTAAAAACAATTATGGACAACGATTTTTTACACTCTAATGATCAAATATTATAAACTACTATAATATTAATGACAATTTCATTTCGATTTTGATATAATTCATTATTATAAACGTTTTTTTTTCAATTACATTATCTAATCGATGATGTATACTAGAACATTTCTCATTTATCAGGTAGTGATTTATATACTTGGCATTGATGCAGACTGTTGGTTTGATGGCTGGTCATACTATCTGGCTTCGCAAATGCAAACAGGTGGAGTGGAGATCGAACCTGTTTTCTTGAAAACCGAATTATATAACTACTTAGTTACTGTTTCACCACCATAATTCACTAAGTACGAACTAGTGTTTTATCATTGCAATCTGAAATTAATTTAAACAGGCAATCAACAGTCCCTAGTATTTATGCTTCTATCTTGAGTTTCAATATAATATTGTAGAGTTTGAATCGTATATTTTAAAGTGAATCGTTAACACTGTTATCATATCCTTAGCTGTTGATCAAATGGAGTTAAAATTTCACTCACGAGACTTATCTCTAAACTTTTAACCAAATAGATTTTTAAATTACAGAAATACTGGTTAATTGACATTATATATATAGCTGAATGAAAGGGTATTATTTTTATACAATTTATTTTATCAAAATACTACTACAATGGATTACTTATCAGTTAACGAGTGAATTAATCAAGCACCAAGTTCAAAAAAATATCAACATTGTAACACTTGGCACTTCATTTATTTCTCTAATCGAATATTTTTTTATTAGAAAACCTAGTGTGTTTTATATATAAACAATAAACAAAGTTTCATTTACTATTTAATTTGTCGATTTCATCTATATGTTGAAAATTAGTTGAAATCTGAACTACCTGGTCAGCATATATTCGATACTAATAATGAAATAAGACGTTGGTGTGATCAACTTACGCAAATTGAAGCTAAAATCAATGGATTGTTTAATCAGGTACAGCATTTACGCACTGGACGATATATGCAAACAGAACAAATTTATAGAAAGTAAGTTATGATAATTAATTGAGTTTAGTGTTCAAAATTATTTGTACTATTCTAACTAGTATTGGCTAATGATTAATTGGTAATTCAGTAAAGGGTATAGGATTTTGTTTATGTAACTCAATTATGACATTAAATAAATGGATTGTCGATTGCCATGTTATCGTTTTACATCGTATATTGGTCATAAATTACGTCAAAATGTCAACTCTACACACCGAACTCGTACGAACACCGGATTTTAAAATATCTAATATTTTTTTATCTCAATCTTTTAATTACAGTAGTTTAATAGTTAAACTACTTAAATTTCATCTAGTGAGTTGCTACTTCGAATCTTGATCCACTTATTTTTACGTATGATGTTGGTAATGTTAGATTCCCAGAACTCACTTGGTAAATGCCTTATTTTTGTAATTCTATTTTAAAAATCTCTTGTTTTCGCGCCACAAGCACCCATTTTCACCATATCGTATTTCCCACTTGGGAGTACCTTAAATGCTATTGGTTCGTTGTCTCTTTTAATATGCTGTTTTTTAACGTTTTCCAAGGACATTGTGGTTGTTGTTCGTACTTCTGACTGCTTGTGGAATATATTTCCCTGTTCTGAACTTGGACTTCTCTCTCTAGTCAGCGAGGTTGATACGCCTCGGAATAATTAGCTTATCTGGTCATTGTATCACTGAGTCTTCGTTCCGTTCGCAGATTAGGTGAACGCGTAATCTCTTCAAACATAGCATATGTACAGCTAATGAGTAATACTGGTAGCTTTCACATAAATGTATGACTCGTATATGGTGATTATGTAAAATTTTACTTTCAATTTATATTACATTAGACTTTCACTGGATGTTTGTTCGATTTAGATATTTGGAGGGTTTGTAATTATAAACAGCTTAGAAAACTTCGTCCGTAATGCGTCAAACTACCTTGTTCATTGTAGCATTTAGACAAGTGTATCATTAACCACTTGAGTATATTGATTTATGATAGATTATTGGTAAATATGATACATGAAAGCGGAATGTCATACAATAGTACGTTTCGATTATAGTTCTGTATATACCTTGCTAATGAATTCTGAAGATTTAGGACTTTTTACCGATTAATTTCAGTCTATCAAATCAAACAAAAGGATAGAGATATTAATTTACCTGTAATGTTCTTATCCAACTGGAAAATTTTAGTTGATACTGAAGACTCCAGTAGTACATTATTACTACTTCATATCTTGTAGATTTTATTAGATGTTAATAATTATCCAAGTCACAGTCAAAGAAGCTAGAAAACATTCGAACAACTCTTGCCAAACCAGTGACCTTTAAAAATTTTCATAAACTTAAATATCCAACAGAAATCGCTATTAATATCAGCATATTTTCCAGAATTCCAAGGGTTCTCGCAACCATATAAACCATCTTTAATTTTTGTGCCTAAACCTACTTTTAGGTTTAACAATATTTTCTCGATACTTCCCAATTGACGAAATAACAGTTTTTGTACAGGTTAACGTGCAGGTTGCTTGTTTAATGCCCAAACCGAACAATATGCTCACTCACTCCATACACCAATTAATAATAATGTTCGAGTCTTTTTATGACCCAGTAATTTAAACTCATTTATCCACCACTGATTTCCTACTGTATTATAACAAATCGATTGAGATTTGCCCGATATATTAATGGTTTATATTATGCCTTACGTTCATGTGTTCCATTCCTTTCTTTTATAGTCTATTTCATATAATGTTAAATTGTCAAATATGCATGCCTGTTACCTAACATATCAAATATTTATATATATGACTGATCATACTGTGCTTGTTACCACTGATTATCATTATCATCGTCACATGATATTACCAGTAAATTAGTATATACTCTATTACATACATACGTTTTAAGTTTACCTATCTATACACTATCCTTACCATAATCTTATGTTCATACACCTATGCATAATATACATAATTTAGAATGAATAATTTTAAATGGAAACAGTAAAGATTATTAAATTTATTCTTTTTCACTCATTATATTGTTGTTGATAATAACTCCAATACTATATTTCATAATTGCATAGAAGTATAGAAATAAATAAATACATGTTGAAGGTGGTTTGGTCTCTGAGACGAAAGAATATCGTCTTGAAATAAATAATTAAGTCATTCATTCCTTTCAGTTAGACAATCATTGGAATCCAGGAAGCATTGGGCAGCTGTTTATTCCTATTATGGAACTCTCCAGCAGCGAGCGCTCCATACTGGATCGAACCTAGAACCATTAGTCTAGCGCGCGAGCGCCTAAACTTTAGACCACTACGTGAGACATTTATCCACCACAGAGGACGGAAAATGGTCACGCAATGTTGCAAATTGATTGACGTTAGACATTTGCATCACTGGATGCTGGCTCAGTGGCCTAAAGGTTTGGAGCTCTCGTGCGAGACTGATAGTTCTAGGTTCTATTCAATATGGGATGTTCATCGCGGAAGAGTCTCATATCAAGATGAAACAGCTGTCCAGTGCTTCTTAGTTTTAAAAAGATATTAAATTAAGAGAAATGAATAAATTAAACTATGAAAATTTAAAAATGTCAATAAATTTACTATAGAAATAAAGAAATTCATCACTGATTAATTTCGGTAAACAAATATCTAATAGGAAACTGTAATCAGCACAATCAATTTATTCGGTAACTAATGAATAAAATGTTTTTTGGAAAAAAACATCATAAATAGACTAAGTTAAAAATGTACACATTGACTTGATAACTGAATGGTATGATGTTCATGTCATGAGACCTGATTTAGCCTAATTTCACTACTATCTGGAGTTGTATAAGTCTTATTGATACGAAGATCCTGATTAGAACAGAAATATTTGTTAATTTCTCGTAAAAAAATTATTTGCTTTATTAAATAAAGTGTAAGTTTACAACATGACAGTGATATAATATTTGAAAACTCTAAATAAAAAAGAAAATGGTGTTTCAAATTCTCTAAATGAAATTGAATAGACATCCAATAATCTGTTGATTGATCGTTGATTCTTCAATTCATTTGGAATTTTTGTAAATGTAACCTTTCAAAATTACTTTTAGTTATAAATAAGTTCTTTTGAAGTTTTTGTTCAATTTGGAAATTAGTCTATATCATAGTTAGATGTCAGCTACAAATTGTCAAAAGGATGATTCTGTTATATGTTCTATATGATTCAAATGATATCACCTATCCTACTTTCATCGGTGGGTAGTTGCATTACGCTTTGATGGAATAGTCCGGACTAAAATCAAATTGACACGCTTGTATTCGGGGTTCCGCATTCAAAGTAATCTTTAATCATTTTAACTTTCCATTACATGATTTCTTATTCTTCCGATTAACTTTCTTGAATTTCTCAACTATTTTGAAATTTCTTATTCTTTCCCAGTGTTTGTACATTACACCAGAAATTCTTAGATCTTCAACGTTTATATCGAGAATTTACATCTTCTTCAACGGTATTACCACCACCCAGTGTCGTCTCTAGTTCTGTTTGTTCAACATCTATGACCATGTCAAATCAATCTACATTCACATCTCTTAAAAATGGTACCATTTTGGAAAACACTCACCTTATGCAAGGTAAATTAATTAGTCCAATCGAACAATGCTTACAATGGATTATGGAACATTCTCACACTGTACAAACTGCATCCTATGGAGCAAATCGAAAATGTAAGATTTCTTTTCACTCCACTTCTCTGATGTGTTGGTGGTTAGAAACAATTAGAATTTATAGTTTTACATATGATTAGGCTTGAACAGCATTTTTTCACTATTGCATAATATCAAAATTATCTAGGAATATTTGTGATATAGTCTGTATTGTGATTCAATTTACTGTTACTGATTTATTCTATCAATAGTTTTAAGATAGAAAACTAAATAACGATACTAGAACTAGCTAGTTTTTATACATCTATACGTCCTGATTGTGTTAATTCACTATTTAGACATTGTGTGTTCGTTATCTGAGTTTAGCTTATCTTGTCTGATGGGTTAGACTGTGCAACATATATCGCACTATATTAAATTCCTTACACAGTCCCACAATCCACCTATACTGTTATTCCATAGTATCTTGCGCAACACGTTACCAGGATCCCATTCTTTGCAGCGTCGTTGATGTACATTACTGATAAATCTCAAGCTAAGTCTATACGGTTACCCGTTTCTGTTGTACGCTCGGATATTAAGGGAACATGATTTTCTACCTTAGGACCCTAACTGTTTCAGGCGTTTTTGCTATGTGTCTCATCAACCTCAACTGCACAGCTTGTTTACTCCTTCCAATGCATTCATATTTACTCACACGCATATGTAAACTGGTCAACACAACTAATTGTGAAGAAATAATTTATGCGAGATACAAGTTTATGTGGATTTGTTAGCTTAACCCTCTGAGAACTGATAAGTTTGGGTGCTTAACACTATCTTCCTGATGGCTGTCATCAATCTTCAGTTCAATTTTATACCATCTAATTTTCTTATGTGTAATAGCCTAAAAACTTTCCTTCTGCACATGAGTTTAAATGCTATCTGACTGTATTAATTTATAATTTCTATCGGTATCTGTTTATCAGATTATATCTAAAGCTATTTAGTGACGTGTGACACTAGCTGGTTTCAATAAGGACGTTAACATTTCAGATTAAACCCCTCAAATCAATACGTATTAACTGTGCCAAAGAAAATATACAAGGGTTTGAATGTATATTTGTGTGTTTGTAGGTTGGTCATTATTATGTTTGTACAAATAGAAGACGTAGTAGTGAGTCACGCGACTTGAGTGTATTATCATTGGTTGATAATAACTGGCTCACTGTGTCGATATCTCTGTCACATTTACAAGGAACGCTAGAGCCTTAACACTTGTTTCTGTAATAATACACCAACATATACAAATGGAATTATTTTAATGAATTAGAGAATGGCATTAAACACAATTAGTTTCATTACTCGTGCAAAGTAAGTCGTATCTAATTATTTATCACACTTTAAACCACTGTTATCATCAGTCTTATTGATATTAATGCCATATCTTTTTGGGACAATGGTTAACGATTTAACCACATAAACATTAATCCCCGATGCTACGGGTTCGAACTCCTACTTCGGTTCAAGCATCCGGCTAGTAGTTTCGTATGCCCCCACGTATAAATATGTGCATTAAAGTCAAGTAAAAACAACCTGCATCTGGTTAATAAGTCTCACTTATTAATATTGCTGTACTCATTTTTTCAGCCGTAGAAGAAGCTACTAGGCGTCATGAACAATTTCATCGAGAAGTGTTGAACTTTAAGAACGAAATCGATCGATGCAAAGCTAATCAACAAAAGGTTATTATTTATTTTGTTTTATTTTTCCTGTTTTTTTTAACTTTTTGACTTATTATTCTAGAATTAAACCGTTTACATATCACACCCTGAAAACCTTCTACTTAAAAGGATATGATTATCCCAACCACTTCGTCCCAGATAGCCTTTACTCTAAATAGGATAACTGAGTAAATAATATGTAGATTCACACAAGTTAAACGATAAATTATTTAGTTGATGCTGAGAAACTACTAAGATCAATATGCTATACTACCTAGAAGTTGGAAGGATATTAAGGATGGCCTGATTGAGAACTAGAGATAATCGATGAATTCACCAGTCTCAGTCGTGTCAAAAAATTGTTCATATTTTATTCCAAGAGAACAACCGACAGCTCATGATCTAATTTCATTATGTAGATTAAAGTCGATCATACCTGTATACAGACACATCTATTCTGTCTCATTTTATTGTCCATTTTTATGTTTTTGCAGTCATTTATATAAATTCCATTTTTTGCTTGTTTATATGGAGTACAGTAATTTGAACCGGTACATATTTTACATCACTTTCACGTTAATCGAATGTATCGTTATCTGAAAAGTAAAGTCTGATTAGTTTCCAATTCAATATTTCATAATTAATCATTGTAATTTGACTACAAATCACTGTGGGTAATTGATCTCAAAATTATCTATTAGTTTTACTGCTTATTCTCTCTAGTAATGTAACTCATCCAATAGGGATTTATGTTGTTGGCTTTGTGCTGAACACTGTGTTAGGGCTAACGACACCACTATGCTTTTCAAACTTAAGTATGCGTGTATCAGGGTTCAATCAAACCTATAACTCACAAATTGCAAGTCTAGTGCTTTAACCACTAAGTTACTATTGTACACTTACTTCACTTTCGATATCTTCATAGTATTATCTTTATTAACCTTTGTACCTGTATGTTTTAACTGGTTTGAACTTGAGAAAACGAATGTATTTTCTAGGATTCTTTCGGATAAACCTAATTCCTATTTAATCTTCTTAAAACTCTTGATGTGTTACATTTCCGATCGATTATCAATTACATTAGTCACATAATTTTTGTTCTCTGCCTAAATAGCTTCCGACACGATCAAAAGAAGAGAAACAAGTTCTTAATGAATCACTTCAAATACTTGAACAAAATTATCAACAATTAATGGTAATCGGTAGAAACATTTTCTATTTTATCTATTATGATTATTATTTTCTTGCTATAACAGTAAATCAGTGAATTATCTTTATTCATAGTAACTCATCAATATATGTTTATACATACAGATAGATTTAATAAATATTTAGAATTGAATTAGTCAGACAGTCAAAGCAACGTTAGAACCGGACACAACTTTATATCGGTCCAAATTACTTCACTATATCAATACAGGAAACGTAAATTGACATGATGTATAAAAATTAGCCGAAATACTAGTGATATCATTTATATTAAGACTGAACTTGGTTGGGGAGGGTTGAAAGAAGGCTATAAATATCATTAAAGATTATTGAAACCCATGATTTAAGAGCAAGATTTAGGATATATACATCTGCACTTGTGTAACCGTGTCACTTAAGGTCTGGCACTGTTAATGTTTATATTAATCGGTCTGCACATCTGCACGCAGCACAGCCTAATAGTCAGTGACTTCATATATTAATGTTACGTTTTAATTTACCCGCCAATAGCCTTCTTCCAACCCAATTTTATGCCGACCAGTATTGTACGTTAACATAAACGGTGATTAGGAGTGCGTAATACGTACCTTAGACACTTCAGATAAATATTAGATAAACTGTAATAATGGTGTGTTTTATTTTATTTTCCAACGAATATTTTTTTAACATATGAATTCGATCATACTGCATTTAAATAAAATCTTTAATAAAATTCAGTGAGAAAGTTCTGCACTTGGCTACTGAGTTATATTTGACTATATCTGTAGTCCTTACTCCTTAATGAATACTGTACTGTATACGTTGGACTTGATCGAAATCATAAAACACAATACTCATGAGTTTTCACTCTGCTAACTACTGCGAACAATCGATAACATTTAATTGAATAACTATTATAGTACTATTATATCTTTACTAAGATACCTTATAAAAGTCAGATTTATTGAACCTAACTGTGGTTGAACTATCAAAATAGCTTCTGAACGAATTAATCACTTTTTATACATTATTTTTAGAAATAAAAATGACCGTAGTTATTTAATTAACTAGCTAAATTCGAAATTTTAATGTCTGTATCATAGTAAGACATTTTGTTGTCTCATAAACTGATTTAGTTGAATCCGTTATAATTGAATAATTTCCTCGCTATTTTCTTCTTGTCCTAAATTTTACTCATTTCTATTTTAAATATCACAATTTATTTACAATATTTATTAGGAAGCTTCATTAAAACGTCGAAATATGTCGAAGTCATTATTGGAATTTGTAGAACGTGCCCATAATGAATTAATTTGGCTAAGGGAACATGAATCATTCGAGGTGACTCGAGATTGGACTGAAATCTATCATAATGAACTAGATCGTATTCGAATTGATTTTCAAGTGGGTTGTTTGTATAATTGATCGATTTTTTGCTTTACATTAAATTTCCATATGTTTACATATGTATATAATTGTGATCATGGAGACTAGTAATCATATGACATTTAAAAATCGGTGTAATTTATCAGAATTATTCTATCAATTGTGAACTGAATTCATAAATGTTTACTCTCTGTGATACCATTTCATCAAGTTCATTATTCATTGATGTTTGAAAAAAAAATCGATTGTAAGCTAAATAGATTTAGTTCTCGTGATATTAAGCATCAGTACCTTGGAAACACTTTGTTCATCGCTGAAAAAGATGGTCCACGTCTAATCACTTCACATTTCACACTAAATATTGAATACATTGTCACTCGGTAGCATTTTCTGCACCGTCAATCAACATTATACTCAAAAGAACTTTGATAATATTCATTCTAATTTAAAATAATCTTTTCTTAAAGTTAACTTTTTCACAAAATTCCTCTGAGCATTAACAATTAATGAGTATGAAAAACCAGCATTTCCATCCAGTTTTCCCCCTTACAAAAGAAGGAAAATGTAAAAAATTCCAACTCTAAAGGTAGTGCGTGACCGGTTTCGAGTATCTGTTCCCTGAACTCCGCGATCGCACTGACAATTTTCGGAAACCACCACTTTTCCGAAACTTCAAGAAGTACCCTTTTATAGTATGGACAACCGGGAAGTGAAAGGCACTCACACACCTAATAGCACTAGACTAATTACATTATTCATCTTTCCACCAATGGATTATTAGTATGCTCAGGATCTGTCCTACCAACTTCAGCTTTTAATTGCCATTTGATATAGATAATCTTTATAAGAATTTTAAAAGTATAAGTCAAAACCGAGTGCATAAACGTGCATTCATTTATTGAATTACAAGTTCAAAGTGATTTATCGTGAATGAAAAAGAAACATAAATTTATGTCAATTGCTTTCATGCTTCTTACACGTTTTTTTTACTGTGTGTACAAGCATGTTTGTTTAATGAGTGAAATAATTGATTGTTGAACCGATCGATCGATCCATGTTACATACAACCTTGTGATCTGAAGCACTTTCTAACTGAATTTTGTTCTCTTTTTTTATGTATGTTTTCTATCTTGTCATTCAATCAATGCGTTGAGTTCGTGTTTGTTTCTTCTCAATATAATTATCTATATTTTACTGGGTATTAAATTGTTCCATTCGATTTCTTATCGTAGTCTATACACCTACAAGTTATTTATCACTTTAATGATGATTAACTTAAGGTTTAAAAAATTGTGTAATTTTATACTCTGTACAGTGTGTAATTATTGCTACACCGGCATGTCATAATTGTAAACTGTCTTTTAGTGTGATATGATTTACTTCACAAAAAATTGAATATAAAGAAATGAAATCTGTATTTGTCAAATCTAAATATAAGCATGTTGTGAATGTTAAATATTTTCAAGTTAAAAGCCAATAACATTTTTTATGGCTTATTGTCAATTCATTTGCTTTTTATGATCATGTTAAAAGTACCGAACTAAACATATTAGTTACCGGTACCTGTTATTGTTTACTTATTTTATGCTTTCACAACACTTTCATTTATCTATACCATCATAGATTCATCTAACTATTTATTCGAATTACATGTATATACGTACTTATGTGCATAGACGTTTTAAAGAGTAAAAAAAGCATTTCTACTTATTACCGTTATTTTTATGATTAGAATATCTGTTAAATCATTCTTTGTGTATAATGCATTTACATTTCTAATAGATAGGTCACTGTTTTTCATATCTCTTTCTATTCTTCCTCATTCACCCCTTTATTGGTGTTATAATAATAATAATTATTATTATTATTATTATCTGTTGTCAGTGTTTAATCTTCACTCTCTCTCTCTCTCTCTCTTCGATTAAAAATATCGACCCCATCGATCTCTATTTGCATTTTATACATAGTCCCTTGAAAATATTTATAGTAAGGACAATATGGATTATTGACTGTTTCGTAGAATTGAAATTTAAGGAATGCACGTTGTTTTTTTTGTTTTGTTTTAGATCGCATTGATTATAATTGGAATTATTGTATTGAAATAATAAATTCTCATATGAACTGCTTATGATTATATATAAAATTATTAAATGAAACTCTCAGTGAATAACATACTGAACAAACTGTTCCCTTTCACTTTTTTTTGGTTAAGTTTCAATTACCACCATAATGTTTGGATTTGAATAGGTTGAAGCAGTTGAATTATGTGTAATGCTTATAAAATTTATACTCGTAAACTACACATATTAGAAATATGTAGAGCGATTACCAATATATTTCACAAGTTAAATTATATTTGCTAACTAGTAATATGGCCGACAATTAATTGGACTAACTTCCTGATTTAAGCGAAAAAATATGAGTCTGTAGGTTATTTATGGGAATCATCTTCAAGTTTTTATACCGGTCTGATTATAATACTTCGTAGTCTGAAGCTTTTGATATTCAAAACAATGTGTGGTGTAATTTTTAAAATGAGCGTTCGTTTTGATTGTATCATTCCTACCTAGAACTTGGTCTATAGTTTAGTATGGTTACTTTTCGCAGTATTATCCCATTTCTTCGAGGAATCTTGAACCTTATCATATTTATGATCCCTTCTTAAAAAATGAATCTCAATGATAAAATTCCAATTACTGTCAACAGTACAAGTTTATCTTGCTTAGAGAAGTTGAGGAACGTTCAATACATATATATAATTCTCTCCTAATTGTCGTAATTGTATCTGTCATCGTCAACTGCATTGTTTTCTTCCTGATTATTCGTATCACAGTGTAATATACAATTACATTTTTGATTGATAATTATATAAATAAAGCAACTAAGAATTTTGCACAACTGTAAAACTTCTATATTTGAGTTCAATGAACGAGGAAAACCCTTTTCAGTTACACATATTCACACTATCGTAAAATGTGTTCGCTAGATTGCCTAATGAAACAGCTGTTTATCATAAGATCATCTTTTGTAGAAATCAGATTTCAACTATATTGTGCTAATTAAAATATGTAACAGTTTGCAAATCATATTTATGACTTCAAGAAACATACTGTTGATGAATCTTGAGTTTTTGATAGATATTTCTGATGAAATAGTTACAAATCTTTTGAAAAAGCCCATTCAAAAGACATTTTATTTCCATATAATCTTGTTGGGTCGGCTTCCGGAGAACTTCAACGGAGCCTCCAGAGGCCCACAAGGAGCCGAAGAGTCCTGGCCAATCAGAGTGTGATGGAACGTCCTAGAATTCCAACGTGGCGTGCTACTATTGGTCGGTAGCATAATGTGTTGTTATCGGATTGGCTGTAAAATGATGTTGATTTAATAGACGCCAAAATCTATAAACACCCATGATTTTCTGTACAAAAATGAACCTTGGAATAAAGTGCTTTCTCTCATTCTTGTGTCTTCTCTCTGGAGTTCAAGTCGCTGTGTAGTTCTAGACTGCGGGTTATCGGAATAGCTTAGGAATCGTATATAGCGTTCAACCTACACGACTTATCAAATCTAAGTTAACTATCCGTGTTATTTCTATAAGGGAAAAAATATTCTTTTTTCTTGACTATGCACTGAGCATTAGCTCATTACCCTGGATGCTAGATCAATAGACTCATTAAATCATAATACATTTGACTCAATTATTCAACTAACTGTCAATTACCAAATAAAAACTAGAACGAAAGTTTATTAACACATACTAAAATGCTGTCGATAAGTGAAGATGTAAACAATATAAAATTTGAATCATATTTAGTGTAGTCGAATATCCTCGTCCTCAATCCACTCACCAATCAACAAAAGATACTTTCGCTCGAGACATCAGTCATATGCTTCCTCATGAAGGATAGGTTTTTATGACTGACTGTATCAATGTATATATCCCAATTCATCAGTTTCTACAAAATTAGTTTTTTTTAATACATCTTTATGTTATTGTTTCCTTTCTAGGAAAAAAAATCTAGCATTTCAACCTCTTCCTCAAAGATAACGGCGTGAACACGCAAACATATTTTTTAATTATTTTTCTTAAGTATTTCAGAGATTAATCTGAAGTATTTTCATAAATATTTCTGGCTGATTTTTTCTACTGCATATAATTGTATAGAGATATTTTTATTAAACAAATATATTAGCTATAATAAGTATTTTATATGCTTCTTTCTTCCGAATTCTAGAAACTTATGCATGAGATACATGAAAAAGAAATTGTCTACAGTGAACTCAGTGTATTAGGCTCATCTATCCAATTGGAAAATTATGATGTAACTGATCTTGTACAGGTAAGTGCTAGATCTATCGTTAGTCTGTTTGTATATATTACATTTGAGGTAATTTTCAGTTGTTGCCAAAATATCAATAGATTATTGATAATACAGACTGGTGCGGTGGTTTTATTGATCAAACCACTTGGCTTTCAACCATTAAGTTATAGATCCATGTTAAGAAATGCTTATTTGAGTTTGAGTAACAAGTTAACTGAAGAGCTGCTTATTCAGTGGTTGTACATTACATATTACTATTATTATTATTATTATTGTTATTATTTTTGTACTGTTTCACAGAGTTTTAGTTTGAAAACCAAAACAACTATTCAGTTATTTCTTGTGTTTTATGCAGCTTTTTTTCAATAGCAATATTTCTTTTAATTTAAAATATTTATTATCAATATCTTGTCTGGACATTGTATTCGGTATCCTCGTTATGGTTTGTTACATAGACTTATGCATATAGTTACTTTTCTTTTGGAATGAGGTACTTCACGCATGAACTCGTTAACCAAACCATGTGGGGGGGTTAGTAATCTTCCTGATTGTGATCTACGAGTCAACACAACGCTTATTGTTGACTACTGTAGCCGACATGACTCGTTCTTTACCTCTCTCTATAGATCTTCATTTTTTTGTTATTCCTTCCAAATTCTTCACTTTTAATCGTTCTTTTCAAGCTATATTCTCTGTTAGTAAGGCTTTTTATTTCTTCGTTGTTAATGTTGAGAACAAATTTTGAGCAATCTTTGTCATGTATCAACAATGAGAAATTACAAATCTATACAAATAACTTCATACCCACTCAACAAGCTAATGGGTATCCGGACTCAACAGCTTATTGTGTGACGCATCAACGTTTGAAATGAAAGGTGCTAGGGTCGAGTTTCATTGTGTATACCAATACATAGGTGAAGATACGTTGAACAGACGAATTGTAAATAGGACAAAACACACATCTTGGGTTCCGTTATTAACCAAAATCTATATTTTTTCTGTATCCGTTTTTTGCTATCGATTAATTTTTAGGCCTCCTACAACTCTACTACTTATTTGTTTTGTTATTCAAAGAAATGTTACAATTTTCTTTCAATTTTTTTTCATTATTATGTATGATATGGCATTTACGATACAATAATGCTGACTATAAAACTTTTTTTTATTGTTAGATGAAATGAGTAGCCTCCTTAAATCTCACTCATATTTGTTATACCATTACTTTTACGATTCTTAGTTTTTTCGTTAAAATATTTCACTTTTAGACTTATCTAAATGCTTTGGAACGTCATTGGGCTTGGTTATTACAATTAACCTATTGTTTTGAAGCACATATTGAACAGAGTGCACGATTTCAAAGTTTTTTCAATGATGTTGAACAATGTGAATTATTACTAACTACATCATTAGAAGAATTACGTTCTCTTTATGAATCAACGTTAAATGCAACAACAACTGAACAAGGTGAAACTCTTCTCAAACAATTACAAGTGAGTAGAAGTGAATAATTACTGTTTACGTAACAGACTTTATCATAGTCACTACTACAAATTATTGGATTTTGACTCATTTCTTGAATGAATTGATTGAAGTTTGCTTGTTCTATTTCCATACTAACTTTTTCTACTGAGGATTATTGTGGTGATCGATCACCAGAATTGACTAAATGTTCACCAATCAAGCTATTGACTAATTTGCATTCACCATTCAATAATCTTGGTGATCTGTGTTCGGATATACGTTTGGAAAGAGCACGTTATGTTGGCCTAACAATGCATCCTCATTATAAACACATATCCTAACACTGTTATGTAGAATGGTTATTAAAAATTTAATGACAATCAGTCAATAAAGTTTTAAAACATTTTTAAGGGACCCTTAACGATTTACGTAACTTGAAAATGCTTAAGAAAAATAGATCCTTTGGTGACAGTCAGTCAGTAACAACGTAGAACTTCGTACGTACGTACATCAGTTCGAGTTGCCACACCACATTAGCATAGAGATGCAGTGGTCGATTCAAATCCCGTAGTAGTAGAGGTAATAAGAGTATAAGCAGTAATCGGGAAGATTAGTGTTTGGAAATGTTACTTAAAGAGTATAATACAGTGAAATAAATTTGAGAGGAGAAAAAAACGAGAAAAGGAGGAATAAGGAGATCAAAATTTGGAAGAACACAAAGAGTGTATTCACCTGCGCCATTGCAAACGATCTTCAGCCATGTCATTCAGGGTCTCTAACCATCGGTTGCTATCATCTCGCGGTCCCCAACCAGGTAGTCTAAAATTACCAACATGACTCAGACCACTTGTCAGTGACTTCATGGATTTGTGCCATGTTTTGGTCTGGCCGTCCCTAGCTTTCTTCCAACCTACTCCTATACCATTGAACATCGCACGTCGAGGCAGTCGGTCGTTGGGTATAAGTAACACTTGTCCCAGCCATCTCAACTGATGAAGTTTCACTACGTCATCGATTGACTTGCCATCCTTACCTAGTACCCGTTTCCTAACAACTGCGTTACTTACTCGATGGTCCCAGGATAAACGAGCAATGTTTCGAAGACACCTATGATCAAATACTAGTAACCTACGAATATCCTCTACTCTTACCGGACATGTTTCACTGCCATAAAGTAGGACGGAACAAGCTGCTGCGCAGAAAACACGTCTTTTGGGTGGTAGACGGATATCTCGCCTACGCCATAAATGACGCAAGTTGGCGAAAGCTAGTCGAGCCCTCTGTATCCGTGCTGAGATTTCGTCACACACCAGACCACAAGGGCTGATGAGACTTCCAAGATAAGTGAAGAGGTCGACACGCTCAATTACTTCACTCCCTATCATTAGTTAGTATTTGCAAGAAAGAGGCGGTTATCTGAGCATAGCTGCAACAGACGGTCGCCATTATCTGTTCTTTGAGCCACGATGCTATAAGATCCACACAACTGTCTTTCCCTATCGCTTAGTTTACCTACTTGAGCATTAAAGTCACCGGCCATTATTACTACATCCGAACGCCTAGCTTTAAGGAGGAGGTCTGAGAGCTTTCTGTAAAACTCATCTTTTACATCATCTGAGCTGCAGTCAGTGGGAGAATAGGCAGAGACGACGAAGAGGCAACGACGAGTGTCCCTATCTTTTCGGATCCTTACTGTTCCGTTCAGTCGGACAGCGCACAAACGACTGTCTACTGGGATCCACTCTAAGAGAGCTAGTTCTGCCCTAGGACTCAATGCTATACCTACGCCGGCGAGGCCACGGGAAGCAGAATCAGGGCTTCCAGATACACGAAGCGTAAATCGAGTCGGTTCTTTATTTTGGCATGGTGAGGTCAAATGAATGACGCTACTTGGATCCTGTATGCGCGTTTCGGAGACGCAGCACACATCGATGGCGCGAGATTCTAAAGTCCTAGCTAAGGAAGCCTGTTGTCCTATTTGGCACAGTGTTCGTACGTTAAAAGCTCCTACGTGTAGTTTAGAGCGTGGTTTCAGGAGACCAGGAATAGCGTTCCGCGTACTCGAATCGTTTGCCCTAGCGGTGCGAGGTGATAAAGAGACGTGAGGAGGGTTAGTCATGGAGATAAGAGAGGTATTAGGAGGTGTAGGAAGGATTTGAATGTGACCAACTTGGTCTCGTGTGCTGTTACGGGTATGAGGGCTGATGTCACTTCCCGGCTGCCCACACCGTGGAAGGGTATTTCTTGAGGAACCTGAAAAGGAAATTGGATTAGTGTTGGTCTTGACGACCTGGGAGCGTGACCGCAGAGCCCAAGGGACAACTGCTTGAGGCCGGTCGCGCACGGCCTTTTTGTGGAAGGTTTTTGACGTGTTAGCTCCGTTCTTCAAAGGGCCTTACCGCCGGAGACGGAAATCCGTGAGGTAAGGTGAGGTGTGACATTTTTAGGGTCGACCTTTTCTAACCCCACCCCTCCTTGTGGGAAGGCAGCATCGCTGTCATGCTGGTTGTCCGAGGGAAACACCTTACTGCTGTCACACCCTCTACAGTCAGCAGTACGACTTCGCCCTCAGACCTTGAGTTGCTGCTTTTAGTCTTACCGTTCTCCAATCGACCTGCCTGGCATGGTAGAACCTACAGGAACATATGTTCCAGCCAATATAGCTCGGTTGGGTCATCACGATAGGCAAGCCCGACCACCGCGTCAAGGTAGCAGCTTCGGTCGGGATCCCTTGGTGAAGCAAAAGTTTGAAGTCAAATATGCTTATATATATCTGTCCAGATATATGAATTAGCGTCCCGTTTTTCTTTAGAACTGATCAGTTGAGGAATCCATTGCTTCCTCTTTCTAGTTGTTTTATTTCCTTGAAAAAATCCTTAAATGATTCCTGAAGCTATCACCCGACTGTCGAACATACAGTAGGTTAAACATTTTTTTTTTTCAAACTAATACCCAAGTCGTTGATAGGTTAATGCTTTATACAATTTAGTCACATTCTCATAGCTACAAAGTTGATATTTTCTCACCATTTAAAATAAGCATACAGGCTTCAAGATTAATCTATCATCTAAAGCTATATAATCAATAAGATTAATGTTGATTGACATATTGAAAACCAACTATCTAATTTAATAAAATTAACCGATTATCATTCATTTTCATGATTCTTTCTTTATAGTACTTTTGTAATTGATTGTACACAATGTTGATCATTGTTAATTCCTTTTATTGTCTAGTTTACAATACACCAATCATATTACATGTCAACTTAAACAATAATATTGATTATTTTAATTGTATAATGTAAATTGGTCACAGTTCAACAAGCAAAACAAAATAAAGTCAATATTCCATGATAACTTAGAAAAGATAGAACAATATGCTGAGTAGTAAAATAATACAAATTAATTTTTTTTATTTTATTAAATTCTCTCATCATTTGCTTACAATCTAAAGAATTTTAGAAAATAGAAAGATAGAAATGAAGTTTAGCATACTTTTTGCAATGAATTTGATCTGAATATGTTGTGAACATAATAGTTTAGTAACAATCTAAATTACATTTTCTTTTTTTTTAGCAAAGAAAAGTGTAATGAAATGTTGCAAATAAGATGTGATAGATGTAATACGACATTTTTTAAAAACGATATCAGTTATTAATACTGTTTTTGGATCTAAAAATGTATACACTTGATGATGGTTATGTCGATTAGCTGTGTATGACTGAAGATAACCGGGATGTTGTTTAGGTCTGGTCGACTGAATTTGAATAGAATAGTTGTAAATAAGTGTTTCTCTTAGTTAGAAAGTTAATAAAAACCATGAAATACTTGGTTACTGTTTCATCCTAATATGAGACTCCTATATAGTATTCATTCACGACCCTATGTGGGGTCGAACCCAGGACACTTAGGCCATATAGTAATGTTCAATATCTAGAAGTACTGAACTGGCTTTCAATATCGAAATTACCAGTCTCAATGAGTTCGTAATATATCGCCACGACCAGTCAATTCCATTTTTGTCAACTGTATTACCTCCTACAAGTCGGAACTCCATTATTCACTTGTTTAATTGATGATTTTTTATATTTGTTGTTTTAATAACTGATTCAAACTCATATATTCTCCTGATATGAATTCTATTTTGAAGTACATTTTCTTATTAGGGGTACTATTGAGTACATTGACTAATCATATTCATTTTTTTATTATTGAATTCAGAAATGAGAATCACTTAAAACTGTATTTATTATACTACAGAAATTTTTAATAACTACTTGTCTTCAATTATAACATGATCTTGTTAGTGAATTTGTCAAAATAAATTTACTTACTCTAAAAAAACAATAATTTCAATCAGTCAACCAGTTTCATTTGTATACATAACAAATAATAATAATAATATAAAATGGTAAATAATTATTATATTAAAATTTACTACTATTGGACTACTTAAGGAGAGAGAGAGAGCAATGAAAATAAAATGAATATGATCTATTGTTCCAGCGAGATCTTCAGGTCATCACCATTTCATATTATTTTAATTATCATTATCAATCTAAATTATTCTTTTTATCTACTATAGTTTGCATTTAGATACTAAATAAGGATAATAACTGAATAATCCAATAAGGGAGTTAATCAGTTTGCCATATAAATGGGTTTCAGAATTAAAAACTGATGTAATATTGATTTTAAATATTATTTGTTTGTTTAATGATTTAAGCAACTAATGTATTAGCCGAAAAATAAGATTAGGCGCTCATATTAATGTTGCATCGTGATTTGAAACAATGAAATAGATCATCTCAATTTTTTAAATGGATTAGTTGTTTTTTTTACCGCATCTATAAAGTATCATTCATTAGTGAATTATTCGAATTTTAAGACAAACTGAATTTTCTATGAAACGCTCATTTCCCCAAAAAAAAATAATGAACAAATAATTTTTTATCACTCTTAATCCATTTATCTCAGATGTTTCTCTTCTTTCTCCCTCTTTCTCAACACTGTTCCACAGGAACTTCATACTCGTGTAATTGGTCAAGAGTCATTTATATTTCAATTAGTAGACATAAGTCAAGAAATTATCCCACCAATACCAAGTCACGTGGATGCACGAGACAGTTCAACAACTTTGATTGGTCGACGTATACGTGTTCTATGCTCATTCCAACCTAAAGATTATTTCTCCGATAATCAATCCTATTCCGGTGATGTATCAATCGTTAATTCCGCCAATACAAGTCATTTATCGATTGCAAACGCAAGTATTAGTAGTATTATAGAGCCAACATTTTGGCCAGTCGGCAACAATACAGGTTATTTTGATAAAGGTGATTTTTTCATAATATTGGAAAATCCAGAAAATCATAAGCTTCAGGTAAGTTAATCTATTACATAATCTCATCTGATATCTCTTTTTTCCTACAAGATACTAAATACATATTCTGATTCAGCATTAATGATCATATACATTTTGCTTCATATTACCTATGTCACGAAATGGGGACTATTTAATCGGATACTTTATTGGGTGTCTTTGTCCATACTGCTTAGTTTTATGTCACTTCGTAATCCAAGCAATCACTGTTATATATATAAGTTTATAAGTTCATTAATTCATTCTTCACGCTTAAAATTATAACTGATACAAATTCTCGATTTTTTGCATTGTTTCACATTCTAAAGATAGGAAACATGTGTCCGCTACTCTTACCATGTTCATTTCAGTCTAAAATACCATAATTCTTCTTAGTGTTGTCGCAGTAAACTGTTTTACTGTCTGTATATCCAAATTGATCACTTGTCAAAAGAAAATTCAACCTCCATAGCTTCAGTCAATTCACAGTTGCTTTTATTATGATAGTATTGGAACTTAAAAGGTTACACATCATTAAATCGTAAAAGAGTAATTGAATATGAAAACTTTGTTTGCTGTAGTTAATCATCTCTACTACAATAATACGTTATTGTATATATAAATTAAATATTTTTATTGCTTTTTATCGTTCTGTTTTTATTCTCATTCATTACGACTTATAAAACTGTCTAAACCGACGAAAGATGGTCTGTTTCTTCTAAATAGTATTTATATATAAATAAATTCTATTTTTCCCCCTTTATATATATATATATATTCATCTCTGTTTATCTTTTCTTTCTCATTTAATAGGTTCGTACAGCTAATGGATCTACACTAACTGTTCCTTTGACATGTTTTCTGCCTTGTTGGCCTAGTAGCGAAGCAATGGATCGAGCTAAACGTATTATTACAACTTTACAACATTTTAAAACATGTTGGTCTGAATTGAATTTACGAATACATGGACATTTATTAACTGTAACAATGTCTAAATTTATTGATGGTGCACCTTTTCAGTATAATATTCCACAACAAATGGATATACGAAAAGTAAGATTAACTATTTTATGTCAATTATTTCATTAAAAAATATTTTGAATAACATTTTTGGAGTTAAAACAATTATTTGCTGAAATTTTAAATTTCACCCTTTCCATTCATTATTTCTCTGTTTTTTATTTATGTGTTGGTAGCTTGGTGGTTATAGTAGTTGAATTACAGACACTACAGTCTCCATGTGATACTAAATTATTAGGATTCAAATTTTGCAGGAAGTATCAGTTTCCCGGAAATTGCGAGTACTCTTTCCTGACGAGTACCAACCATTACGATACCTAGACCCAGAACTTTCTGCCGATTCACTCTGACCACCTAGCATTGCTTGGAGTGATTAGTTCCTCCTACATTTATTCACACCACGATACATAACTAAGTATAGTTTGATCGGACTGATTTTTTGTTACCTGTCATGACCACCATTTTGTCTTCGTTATTATATCACTAAGCAAAGTGAAAGAAGTGTAAGCGAGTTGCTTCCCTATTATTCTTGATTACTGAGATGCTATTGATTAGTGGGTGGGTTTGTTATGATATTGATAAATGTTTATGTGTGTTTTTTAATTGCCATTGTTGTTACGAAAGTACGTACTTATTTTATTGATAAGAAAAAATAATTTATCACTTAAATTCATTTTTTACAATTCGCTAGTCATTTCTTTCTCACTTCAATTTGTTTCATTGCTTACAGTCTGTTTTGTAGTAAATTAGGTCAACTTCATGTGTTTACATCAGTGTATACATTAGATCTGGGAGGAACCAATAATTATTAAACTACAGAAATACTTCACGTTAACTATTACTTCTTTTTTTTCAAAATTACAACTATCTCCACATGGTAACAATAACCCTGCCCTCAATAAGTGACTGATTTCGATAAAGAGTCCCCGGGGTTCCAATGAGAATCTATAACTAGTGGGGTTTAACCATTTCGCATGTCAGGCATTAATGACATTGGTAGATAGTTGAAGATTTTTTGCGGATCAATCAAAATTAGACATGTGAACCACTCGATGACGACTCAGTTGCCTATAGTTTAAGCTTTCGCCTTTAGAATTGAGGGTTCTGAGTTCGATCGTAGGTAAGGTTTTGAATATGTACTGCTTAGGTGTCCTGTATTAATACTAAACAGTTATCCAGTGCTTTCTATTTTTCTCTGCTTGTTCTACTAAGATCAGTTTCTAATTTTCATTATCAAGAGTGCATACTGAACACTTATGTATAATATGTATAAACGCTTCCTTCAAGTAAATTATTTTTTGATGTAATCAGTTGTCTAGTGTTAAAATTGCACGAACAATACTTTTTACCACTAAACGTTTGAACTACTGTAGAGAAATAATAATAGAAGAGCCTTTGTGTGTATGTCGACATGCTCACCTGAAGGTCATGAGTCTAATTCCGTTCAAGGTATTGTAAAATCTCAAAAAGAAGACATATTAATTGTCATTTGCTACCCTCGTTATCATCAATTCGTTGGTTAGTAAAAATTGCCTTCAAAAAATTCCATTCAATTAAAAATGGTACATTTTTTTAATGAAATGGGAATTTTTTCTTATAATTAAACTACGTCTATTAAAATTACGGTAATTTACGGGTCGAAACAAAGAAATATGTAAATTAGGTGTTTTGAACTACTGAATGTCAAGCTGGTTCATTTTTAAGAATTGATTATAACTCTGACTTTAAATTAATGGATCTCCGTTGGTGACCTTTCACACTTCAGTATCGTTGCATGTGCGGACGCTTCGTAATTGACACCTACTTGTATTGGCTACTTTGTACTGTATGCATAATTTTAAATTAATAAAATAAGTTGGAATTATGCATACAGGCAATAAAATGTCTTCTCTTGAACCATAAAATCTTTCGTTTCGTTATCTCTTTTATTCATATAAAGTTATCATCCTTGAAATGTCATTTTGTGTTAGACGTAACATTTAATTACTAATAAAACAAAATATAACACTAATTAATAATTAAATACATTATTCGTAAAATTCTAAACACTCAATAGATTAAATTCACTTGGTATTGTGTACTTGGATCTTCCTATTGGTGTTTTGGACTGCAATTGATCTGTCTTTTATTGGCATATATACACATTGTCTTGATATTGATTTAACTCGAGTCCCGGAGTGAACAACTCGGATGCAGATACATCCAGCTGACGAACCCCAAATAGGACAAAACGCGCGTTCTGGATCCTACTGCTAGCCACTATCCATCTTTGCTTATAAACCAATAGAGTGGTTTGGAAAATAGGATTGATAAGTTTCATTTTCGAGTCACATTGAAAATACCATCACTTATTCGGCTATAGGTGTACTCAGTTAACACGAGTATCATATTAAAACAAAATCGCTCATTTATGCAACAGTATTTTAGGCTACTGCCGGTCCCAAGCCCGGATAAAGGAGGAGGGTTGGGCATGGGGTTAGCGTCCCCATCCCGTAGAAAACTAACTCGCTAAAAAAACGCTAACCAGAAAAAATTATTCAAACCTTTTAAACTCTGCCCTGGGAGTCAGAAGGTCTTCATTTAGAAGAATTATGACGCCTCATGATGAAAGCCGAATTCCTTCGGAAGTTACGAGGCCGATGCCCCTTCTGACAACCAGAGCGACCATTTATTTAGGTACATGGAATGTTCGTACAATGTGGGACACCGGAAGAGCCTTCCAAATTGCTGCAGAAATGAGAAGATACAACCTAGAGGTACTTGGGATCAGTGAAACACATTGGACACAAGTTGGACAACAACGACTAACTACAGGAGAGCTCCTGTTATACTCCGGCCATGAAGAAGAAAATGCACCACATACACAAGGAGTTGCATTGATGCTGTCCAAACAAGCGCAAAATGCACTTATAGGATGGGAATCTCATGGACCAAGGATCATCAAAGCCTCGTTCAAAACAAAGAAAGAGGGCATTTCAATGAACATCATCCAATGCTATGCGCCTACCAACGACTACAATGAAGACGCTAAAGATCAATTCTACAATAGGCTGCAGTCAATCGTCGAGAAGTGCCCAACAAAGGACCTGACCATTCTGATGGGAGATTTCAACGCCAAGGTTGGAACGGACAACACTGGATATGAAGACATCATGGGACGACACGGACTGGGAGAAAGAAACGAAAATGGTGAGAGATTTGCAAATCTATGTGCCTTCAATAAACTGGTCATAGGCGGCACCATATTCCCACATAAACGCATACACAAAACCACATGGACTTCACCGGATCACACACACAAAACCAAATCGACCATATTTGCATCAACAAAACGTTCAGGAGGACTATAGAGGACGTGAGAACCAAGAGAGGAGCTGATATAGCATCAGATCATCACTTGCTGGTCGCCAAGATGAAATTGAAACTCAAGAAGCACTGGACAACGGGGCGGACAATATCACAAAAGTTCAATACGGCCTTTCTTCAGGATACTAACAAACTCAACAAATTCAAGATAGTCCTCAGCAACAAGTTCCAGGCCTTTCATGATCTACTCAATGGAGAAGGAACTACTGTGGAGAGCAACTGGAAGGGGATCAAAGAGGCAATCACTTCAACATGTCATGAGGTCCTGGGTCACAAGAAGCACCATCACAAGGAATGGATCACTGTTGATACACTGGATAAGATTCAAGAAAGAAGGAACAAGAAGGCAGCAATCAATACCAGTCGAACAAGAGCAGAAAAAGCCAAGGCACAAGCTGAATACACAGAAGTAAACAAACAAGTGAAGAGGAGCATCAGAACCGACAAACGTAAATATGTGGAAGATTTAGCAACGACGGCGGAAAAGGCTGCAAGAGAAGGAAACATGAGACAATTGTATGACACGACAAAGAAACTCTCTGGAAATCGCCGCAAACCAGAACGACCAGTGAAAAGCAAGGAAGGCGAGGTAATCACCAACATTGAAGAGCAACAAAACAGGTGGGTAGAACACTTCAAAGAACTCTTGAATCGACCAGCTCCACTGAACCCACCCAACATCGAAGCAGCACCCACGGACCTCCCAATCAATGTTGGCCCACCAACAATTGAAGAAATCAGCATGGCCATCAGACAAATCAAGAGTGGCAAAGCAGCAGGACCGGACAACATCCAGCAGAGGCACTAAAAGCAGACGTAGCGGCAACTGCAAGGATACTCCACATTCTCTTCAATAAGATTTGGGATGAGGAACAAGTACCAAAGACTGGAAAGAAGGACTTCTGATCAAAATACCGAAGAAAGGCGATCTCAGCAACTGTGATAACTACAGGGGCATCACTCTTCTCTCAATACCGGGAAAAGTCTTCAACAGGGTATTGTTAAACAGGATGAAGGACTGCGTAGACGCCCAACTTCGTGACCAACAGGCAGGATTCCGTAAGGATAGATCGTGTACAGACCAAATCGCAACTCTACGGATCATTGTGGAACAATCAATTGAATGGAATTCATCACTCTACATCAACTTCATTGACTACGAAAAGGCATTTGATAGCGTGGACAGAACAACACTATGGAAACTTCTTCGACACTACGGCGTGCCTCAGAAGATAGTCAATATCATACAGAATTCATATGATGGATTACACTGCAAAATCGTGCATGGAGGACAGTTGACAAAGTCGTTCGAAGTGAAGACCGGTGTTAGGCAAGGTTGCTTACTCTCACCCTTTCTCTTTCTCCTGGTGATCGACTGGATCATGAAGACGTCAACGTCTGAAGGGAAGCACGGGATACAATGGACATCTAGATGCAGTTGGACGATCTAGACTTCGCAGATGATCTGGCCCTTCTATCCCAAACGCAACAACAGATGCAGGAGAAGACGAACAGTGTGGCAGCAGCCTCAGCAGCAGTAGGTCTCAATATACACAAAGGGAAAAGCAGGATTCTCCGATACAACACAGAATGCACCAATCCAATCACAATTGACGGAGAAGATTTGGAAGATGTAAAAACCTTTACATATTTGGGCAGCATCATTGATGAACAGGGTGGATCTGATGCAGATGTGAAGGCGCGGATCGGCAAAGCAAGAGCAGCATATTTACAACTGAGGAACATCTGGAACTCAAAGCAACTGTCAACCAACACCAAGGTCAGGATTTTCAATACAAATGTCAAGACAGTTCTACTGTATGGGGCAGAAACCTGGAGAACTACGAAAGCCATCATCCAGAAAATACAGGTGTTTATTAACAGTTGTCTACGCAAAATACTTCAGATCCATTGGCCGGACACTATTAGCAACAACGTACTGTGGGAGAGAACAAACCAGATCCCAGCGGAGGAAGAAATCAGGAAGAAGCGCTGGAAGTGGATAGGACACACATTGAGGAAAGCACCCAACTGCGTCACAAGACAAGCCCTCACATGGAATCCTGAAGGCCAAAGGAAAAGAGGAAGACCAAAGAACACATTACGCCGAGAAATGGAGATAGACATGAGAAAAATGAACAAGAATTGGATGGAACTAGAAAAGAAGGCCCAGGACAGAGTGGGTTGGAGAATGCTGGTCAGCGGCCTATGCTCCATTGGGAGTAACAGGCGTAAGTAAGTAAGTAATTTTAGGCTGTTGGTCAATAATATTGAAGTTTCTTTCATTGAAATTTCCAGTCATATTGTTAGGGCATGTGATATAAACAATCCTATTAAAATAGTGTGTTTATTGTTGAACTTATCAGTGTGAAGGATACCGCGATTTTTTTTCATTATGATTTAAGATTGGTTAAACCTTCAAGTAAATACTTATCATTTAACTAAACTACAATTCTTCACAATCACAGATCAGCTATTGTTTTTCTTTATATTCATATGTCTCAGTTAAATATAAAGTACTAAGTTAAAAACGGTTGTTATCGATTATTCATGTGTTATTCTATGTAATTCGTTCGTTATTATCGTGTCACTTCACTCAGTTATATCAATAACCTACATTCTGTTATTGGCTTCTATTATCAATGAATATAATGATACTCATATATTTCATTATTTCAAAATTAATAACACTATATCTTCACATGAATCACATATTATTATTATTATTATTATTATATTATTATTATTATTATTATTATTATTATTATTATTATTATTATTATTATTATCATTTAATAGTTCCCCTGTTTCCTATATCTCACATTCTGTATGTACCGCTTTTGCATTACTTACCATTATTGGTAAAACCACATGATTATGTTTAATCCGAAGTTTTTTTTGGTATGTAACCCTTTATCTTTCATATCATATAAAGTCTTAACTAAAAGAATTTGAACTTTATTGAAAGAAAAGAATTATTCACATACACATTTACACTTATATCCATCCAGCTGTGATGTTCATGTTTTAATTTTCATTCGTTATTCTATTATGTTGTTGTGTTATTATGTTATTACAAATACTGATTATGAAATAATTCTACAATAATCTGGTACTTATGTTATGATTTAATTTGAGATGGGTTTCCTCAGGTTTTGATTAAAAGCTTGTAACCAGTGGATTAACCAAGCTAGGAACTAAGTAGACATTTTTCGTTGAAATGAAACTGAAAAGTGCAGACCATTCGATTCATTGGTTGAGAGCTATTGTTCTTATCGCAAGACTTAATAAGTACAAACTACTATCGAGTTTCATCCCAAAATAAAATATATATCTAATATCCCTTAGTGTTTTAATTCGTTATGTAATTGATATCAGTTCATAAAGCTTTCAATTCGTGCTTTCTATGTAGACTATCAAGTACTGAGTCAAAAATATACTTCATGTAGAACAGAAAAATTGATAACAATCCTTAATTCTTAACCCCCCCCCAAAAAAGATGGCCAGATTTCTTGATAAGACTAAATATTTTTTCAGAATGAAAGTGATTTTACAGCATAATCGTCTAATTAACTTTGTTTATGATTTTCTTTAAAGTATTTGTAGAATTTTATGAAATCTTATTCTGAATGATACTTAACACGACAAATGTTTAAATCAGTCATAAACCCTTTTATACAGAATAGATGGGATATGGACATCATTGAAATCAAGACATCTGTCTCGTCGTATTTGGGACTTGTCAGTTAGATGTACCTGCATCCTATAGTCACGATTCTCTCTGGGACTCGAACCCATTGCCATTTTCTTCAAACCCCACTCTATTATCCACTTAGCTACTGAGTCCAGATACCCACTTACCTGTGCAGCGCGTCAAAATATCAACGACAGGACAATCCAAATCGCTAGAAATTAAAGTCATTAACTCTGTTGACATGACTCCTATTGGAGTCAGTATAAATCTGGATTATTTAGTATTGATAAACTTAATTACTAATTTCACTGGTTGAAATCATGAGTCATTTGAAGCTAGACCACCATTGAAAACCTAAAAATTAGACATTAACACCGTTGGATGCCGGCTCAGTGGTCTAGTTGGTTAAGCGCCTGGTGCGGGACTGATAGGTCCTGGGTTCAAATCTCGTGGGGGAGCGGGATCGTGGATACGCGCTGCTGAGGGGTCCCATACTAGGACGAAACGGCCGTCCAGTGCTTCCATGTTTTCCATGATGGTCTAGCTTCAGTTGACTCATGATTTCAACCAGTGAAATTTCTAAAAATCTCCACAAAACCCATTCTGATATTAATTACTAATTGTACATTTTCATTCACTCATTGTCTCATGTTGTTGTGTGAAATCCCAATTATGTTATTTCGCCTTAAAGTTGTGCAGCAGTTGCTTTTTCTCGAAAAAATTCGAAGATTCTGTTATCTGATGTCGTCTAGTTAAGAATTCCAATTTACTGCATACACAACATTTCATATTAATCGACTATTCCCCAACGTTTTTTTTCCCAATGATGCTTTCATTTCCGTGTTCATATGATTGTGTTTTAATGCGATATAAATTTTTCAGCGTTCTTTTAAAATTGATCTCATTATCTAATGAAAAACTATAGTGGAAATTACTGAATTCTCTTCAAAAATACATTGTAAGTGAACCTGTTTATCCTTTTCATATATTGACGTCTTTTTATTCAGGTAATTTATCGTGATGCTGAACGTTATTGTTTAGAATTGCAACTAGCTAATGTACCAGCGACAGAAGTGGAGAAATTTAAGCAACATTTTCTAGATTTTCAAAATAGTTGCATTGAACAGGTGAATGGTGTTCCAACTACTGATGACAAGACTAGTATTTGTAATGAAGCTTTATTGACCAAATCATCAGAAATTTATTCAATTATCGATGAACTGAGAACAGTGTTGAGTACGTTGACAGTACGTCTTAGAGAGTCGAATTCAATACCCTTACCAGGTAGATCAATAGATATGGAAGTTCGTATTAAAGATCACAAGGTCAGTCTTTTTTTTACCACTTTCATTAGCTTTAATTATTTCCTTAACTTGGAGGTTTATAATTAACGTTTCGGTGAATGAATACTGAATAACAAATGTCGATGAAGATTGATAGCTTTATCAACTATTAACACTGTAATTATAATTACTTAGCGGTTCCATTGTGTATGATCAACGCTTCTAAGAGATTTGACTGTATATTTCCAGCCTATATTTGAACACAATAAACAATAATACAACATTCGGCTTTCAATCAGTAGATTAATAGTTCAAACTTCTGTCTATGTAGTACATATGTCATCTGTGTGATATCACTAGTCATTTAAAAAAAAACACATCGTGATTCAAAGCCAACTACACAAACATGTACTTGGTGGAAAAGAGAAATGTACTAAGCACTTGAACTAAAATTATTTAGATGCAAAATTATGTTAAACCTACTTCATATTACATTTTCTTACAAAATAACTAATCTGTATCTTGTTACAAAAATATACTTGAAATTTGGAAAAAATAATAATAAAATGTATAATTTTAAATATTTCTCATCATGAGAGTTTTTGTGTAAAGAAAAATGAAAGAATTTTGTTTTTATGTACTATTCTCTTGTGGATTTTTTTCTTCTCACTGTGTTGCTATGTGTATTATAAAATACTCTGTTATTTAATTAATTATGTGTGAATAAATAAAACTCAAGTTATTGAGATCACGAGGAAACCTAGGTTAGAAAACCATTGAAAACCAAGATGCACTGAACAGGTATTTTCTCCTAAAATGAAACTTTTTCAGAAGTGCACATCGACGACCCCATTGTGTATTGAATCCAGGACGTACGGTTTGTCGGTCAGTACAATAACATTCCGTAATCTCTACAATTCCATACTGTGAATCCATGTTGTTAAGAAAAAATAACTCTTGTTATCTCGATTTTCAAGCATCTGTGTACATAAATGAAGTTTCTCTATATCTCTTTTATATTATATTTGAATAATTAAACAGTATTCACTTTATTAAATTCCTATCTAATTATCTGTGTGTTTACATAATTCATTACGGCTGTAGTTTTCATGCACTCTACTTGATAGTACCCAGTAACCGATTTCAGATTAATTTACATGATTTTTCTTTGCGCTGCTCTATTTTGTGTGAGTGAGGGCCATCTGAACTTACAACCAACTGGTTGCAAGTCCAATGATTTACTCATACATTCATTACTTCACGACTTAATTAATAAATTGTAGATAAGTTTTGAGCTTTTGTTTTATATACACGTGGAATCTCACAAAAATCTCCAAATATATGAGCAACTGGAAAGAAGATGCAGTTGATCATTGATATATTATTATCTTTAAAAGTACGGAATATTTAAATGATTAAGTAGTTTTTGTCAGTTAATTACCCAGTTACATATTCGTATACTGAGTCTCCAGCCACGCCATGACTGTGTAGGGTAATGATACCACCCTGCTACCCAGACTGAAGTAGATGGGATGGAGTTCGAACCTGCAACTTATTGCTTGAAAGTCGAACTCCCTAACCATTGACACACCCCTTCTATCAGGTAGTGCTTAGAGAAAATGTTAGTTTAAATGAATTGATCGCAATATCTTGAGATGTATTTCATATTGAGTGGTTGAGGGCGTGCGATTTCTCTAACTATATTGAATTTATTTAATATATGAACTTCATCTGAAGTAAAGGATTACATAAGATTGGTGTTGTATGTTAAATATTTTAAATGTAAGATTTAACTCAGGTTGGGTAGATTTTCTTTTTCATTACCATGTGGAAAATCCTTCTTATCTTTCAAATATTTAATTGTTTTTCTCCCAATATTCATATGGTATAATAGACCTTGTACTTTCGATTTGTTAACTTGCCATATAAAACTTCCTTCAAGAAATTTGAAGGTTAAACTTTATTCTACTTATTATTGATGAATAACGTGCTCTAAGAAATCTGATGTTGTTTGTGTGTGTGAAAATTAACTTGTCTTATTTTAATTTATCACATAAATAAAATTACATTATTTCTTTTATGTAACTACAAATCATGCATGAACAATAGTGAAAAAATTAACAGTAATACGTATTTCATTACTTGTAAGCTATCAACTCCTATATTCTATCCACTGACATATGAGAGCAGATTGGTCATTATGTTTTTAACTTCATTTTAAATTAGGTTTGCCCAATTTACTTCATGAACTAGACTTAGATAGATAACCAGTGAACTTTAACCATGGTGTATGTAAGACATTTATTTACCAAAGCATTGATAGATGGTTGGGTAATATCTCGAAATGTAAAGTATTGAATTCTCACTAATGGTCTAAAGACCAAGCAATTGCTAAGAGACTTGATGGATGTGGCTTGCATTCTTGCTAGGATTATGTGATCACATTTATGACGAGCCCCATATTAGGAAACAGTTGTCCATTCCTACCGACTGTCATTGATTATTTGATTGATTTCAGTCTGTGACATAACCTATGACATTCAACAATCTCCATAAACACTTCACACAAATTATTTTTCACCAATTGTTATTATTTAATTAATTTTAACATATCGTTTCACTTCTTTTTTTCTAATAACAAAAAACAATTCTATCATAGGAATGGTCTCATGCTTTAGCTCGTGTTCGTGCTCAATGTACAGGATTAGAAGAACATATCAATAATCAGTTACAATCACGATCATTGAATGAACAAGATACACTGTTGAGTACAAGTCTTTATGCTCTACATAGAGCAGCTAGTGAACTAGCACTAACTGGTCATGAATTTTCTTGTCGATTAGCTGATACTGACGCATGGATCGCTCGTTTAGAACAAACCGATCAAATACTAACGGACTGTGAATTATGTCTACTAGGCTGTGCAGTACGTGTACATGGTCTATTACAACTTGATGATCTGAATAGTTCAACTGATCCAGATGGTCTTCGTGTTACAGTGGTGGAAAGAGCTCATCGAGATTTAAAGGTGCGTTTCATCATATAATTTTACGGTATTTTGTGTAGTTATTTTACAAATACTCATCACAAAATGTTTCGATTATTAAATAATTAAAACAACATATTTTAGAGAATAATATTGATTTCAATTAGATCGTCATCAATCTTTACTCTAATATACAGTAATAGTTATTCCGACACATGAAAATATGAGACCACCCAAACTATAATGGCCGTACTACTAGATAAATCAGCCAATAAGTTTGCAAGCATCTCTCGTAGTTTGCTGAATCAGTTAAAATTTCATACCCAGTTGCGTACTACCACACATGTTCTTATAGTGATTACGTGCTCGACAGAATCGAAGCATTCAAAGTGATTTGCGTCCAAGTTTCGACCTTGTCTTTGACATATAGTACAAGATACAGTGGTTCGTGCTAACAAACGTAGTGTGTGTATCTAAAAGGATCTTGTAATACCCCTGTCGCTGTGTTGTTCAGAGAAAATCTAGTGAGCGATCTTATTAATTCTTTCTACCCTGTGTTTCTATTCACCCTTTTACGCATCTCTTCTTCACTACGTATGTATTTAAAACTGAACAATCAATTTGTACTTTTTATTTCTTTGTTGAATTGTGTAATATATCTGATTGAAAACAATACTGTTTGCTGATGTATCGTTTTGTACGATGGAAATTTTTAATAGTTTACTGTATAATTGTTTACGTGAAAACAGTTAATATAATCCGATTTTATGTAAATTCATCAAGTACATCAACTCAGGAACTTTACCAGTGAACATATTTCCCTTATAAAATAATCATTTAGTCATGTAGCCTGACGTATTAAAAATGCCATATATGAGAGCGGTCTTAATTATTTAAATTTCTTCACCGGTTGCAATAGTTTATTATAATTGTAGACAGTCATGTTTGTTTTATATGTGCTTGTTGTAACTAGTTCGGGAAATTACTCAAACTGTGGGCATACTTATTTCCCTTTTTATTGATCACACTACGAAGCTGAAATTCAAGAAATAACTAGATTTATGGATAATAAGTATGTTGACTGTTTTGCCTGTTAAGTGATCTGCTTAGGGAAGCATTTATCTAACTTTATTATTATTATTATTATTATTATTATTATTATTATTATTATTATTTTAGTCGGTAGCTGAGCGTCTTCCTCAAATTCGATCTGATCTAGATTTACTTAGTCAACAATTAACTAGATTTATGGTTTCCAATGAGGCATTTAATGAAACGCTCCAGTATGATACTGCTACTAACCTATATGAAAGTTCAAACCTGTTAAAGATGCATTTATCACCTTGTACTGATAATCATTATTTAGAATCAAATCTTGCTTGTTCTGAACATCGTCTAGCTGAAGCAACTAAAGAAGTTGAACAAGAGTGAGTGAATATTTGTGTAATTTGCAAGTGTTTTTGGGATATTAAAATCATTTATTTCATGATATCTATTATGACATCTATGACATCAGATAGTAAATTATATTCGTAATAACCTCAGAAATTGGAATCTAGATAGTTTCAACATTTCATTCGGTCATGTTAGGTCGGCGAAATAATAGTAAAACGCTTGTTTACTTACGCTTGTTACCCCCTCGTGGAGGAGCATAGGCCACCCACCAGCACTCTCCATCCAATCCTTTCCAGTTGCTATTCATTCTTTCCATATCTGCTTCTAATTTTCGGTTCAGTATGTCCTTTGGCCTTCCTCTTTTCCGTTTCCCTTCAGGATTGCAGGTTAGCGCTTGCCTCGTGATGCAGTTTGGTGATTCCCGTATTGTATGTCCTATCCACTTCCAACGTATTTTCCTAATTTCCTCTTCAGTTAGAAGCTGGTTTTTCCTCTCCCTTAGTAGGCTATTGCTTGCCTGTGGCTTAAGTTTATTATTCATACCCACTTACACCTTCCCTCTTTGGACTCCTTAAACCTGTCTCCCAATAATATTGATATATTTATAAGTGGTATGATCAACTTTCATCATTTTAAGATGAATAAAAAGCCAACAATTTGTGAAGTGATAACCATCTTAATAACAGTGAGATTTAGTAATTACTCTATCACTAGTTTAGATTTAATTTGGAATCGCAGTATACTATATCGCTATATATTCTGGCGGAAAAACATTCTGCCTAGATGCATTGAGCCTATATCTCGATAATATTTGAACTAATCACTACCCTTTTTTAAGTATTCACTGGTATACCTTTGAAAATTTGTCCGTTAGGGTTAGTGAAAACAACCACGGTCGGGCCGGTGAGAGCATTCGACAAATTTAAGGACATACTTGCACACATCCAATTTTTATTCTATCCTCATCTGTACACCAATCAAAATGCCGTAGACTATGACTACTTTTCTCATACCCCCCACCAACACTATCTGGTTTTTTCGGAAATCAAGTAATCGAAGATTTTTGATTGGTCTTTAAGTCAGGAGGAATCAGCTTCATTTGTGTGCATATATTTTCTGTCGGTCGAATGATTAGTATGTTTGATTGATAAACTATACATAAAACCACTTAATTATTTGAATAAAATCTAGAGCTTATTATTTACTTGGTGAGCTTATTATGTTTTGATTGGTTGAATAATTTCTGAAATCTTATTTCCTTCTGTACGTTTCACTGATATCTGTCTGTTAGTATAAACTTTTTTCATAAAAATTAGTTTATCATAAATGTAGTTGTAGGCTTGTGTGATAGTTATTTTTTGTGTTTAGAAGATTTTTCACGATTGATAAATCGAACAAATTCAGACTGATCACACTACGCCTACGGTAAGTGGATTAACTCTATCTAATCAAGATGGTCGCCCATATATTTTTTTTATCTAGATCAATCTAGTCAACTAAAAGTACGCATACAACTGTAAATGTTATCATTGACTATGCAGTTAGCTGCCACCTACGCAACTTTTATTTTCACCCTCTGTATTGTTGGCTTGGTCAAGTGTTAGAAATAGGCATAACTGATTAATTGGACCGATAAATTTAAAATCTTTAAGGGTTCATAAAATTTATGTCTGTTTATTGGCATGTAAATTAAATTACAGACAACATTTGAATATTCACATTTCGATTTGTATTACTGAAGCAACATTTCCTCTTTTGTTAGTGAGGAAACTGCAGTTTATCAATATAAAAGAGACTGACCAATTGCAATTTTAAACATCATTGAGAAGATCCGAACAACCAGTATATATGAATTAAATTTATGAATTGTTTCTGATTGACATGAAAACATGATTAGTGAACTATGAGCATGGAAAGCATCTCCTTAGAATTACTTCTACATAATTTTTAAAGAAACTCAACTATTACAATGTGACAAAAAGTAATATCTTTAGAATTAGTTCTTAACCTATTGACCATAGGCTAACACGTTCGGTGGGAAATACTAAAATATCTCTGTAATGCAATTTATATACCAATTAGTACTTGAAGTAGTTGACTTTATGCAATATAACTTGTCTGAAGGACAGTTACATCAAAAGGTTATCCAAATAAAAGTAGATTTTTCGAGTTTGAACCTTCAACCTATGATTTAATGACCAAGAACTTTAACTACTAAATTGTTTCTTTTTATCTAAAATATTACTTCCCTGTAAGTGTTCTTCTCTTGGTTGATTGGATTATGTAGACGTCCACATCTCAGAGATAGCATGGGCAGCTTGAATTTTCTAGATGATTTAGACTTCTCAAATGATCTAGCTCTTTTATCCCATATACAGGAACATATACAAACTAATTCAGACAGTGTAGTAGCAGCCTCTGCAACAGTAGACCTCAACATACACAAGGGAAAAAGCAAGATCCTCAAATACAACTCAGAGAGCATCAATCCAGTTACAGTTGGCGGAGAAGCTCTGGAAGATTTGGAAACTTTCACGTACCTGGAGAGCATCATCGGAGAACGAGAAGAATCCGATGCAAACGTAAAGACCAAAATGGCAAAGTAAGGACAGCATTTGTAGAGTTGAAGAACATATGGAACTCAAAATAACTGTCAACCACTACCAAAGTGAGGATCTTCAATACGAATGTCAGACAGTTCTACTGTATAGAGCTAAATCTTGAAGAACTACTACAACCAGAATCAAAAATGCACAGGTATTGATAACCAATTGTTTACGCAAGATACTCCAAATCCATTGGCCGGATGCCATCAACCTGCTGAGGGAAAGAACAAACCAGCTTCCATCTGAAGAGAAATTTAGGAAAATACACTGGGGGTGTATAGAACATACATCACAGAAATCATCAGACTGCAACATGAGCCAAGCTCTAATATGAAATCCTGAAAGGAAAAGGAAAATGGAAAGACAAATGAACACATTGCATCGGGAATTAGAGACATACATCAAAAGAACGAATAGCAATTTAAAACAATTGGAAAGAATTGCCCAGGACAGAGTTGAGTGGAGAATTTCGGTGGGTAGCCTGCGCTTCTACACGAGGGGTAACAGGTATAAGGTAGTGAGTAAGTTAATAAGTATAAGGGTATGGAAAAGAAGAAATCAAACCATTATTATCTAAGCACTGATAAACTTGTAAAAATATAATAAAAACATTCATAATGAAATTTCAACTTCATTGTTTCCTACTGAACAAGAGGTTTCATAGTTATTGAAGGTAAGGATATGTGAATTTTTTTGGGCCACAATTAAGTTTCCTATCACTTGAGAAATAAATCACAATAAGAACAATAATTTTCCTTGTTATTTGTAGCAAAATTTATTCACTACTTATTATTAATTATTAGTATATGGAGGGGGGGGAGTTTTAGAGATTGTTGAATTTCATTGTTTTCACATTGAAAACCAGCTATTCAATCGTTTCCTGGTTTTCAATGATTGTCTAACTAGGATCAGTTTGTTATGTAAACTGCAAAAGTTTTAGTAAATTGACAATCCTTTTGATTTCTTAGTTATCAAAATCCCTTATTTATGTATATTCGGTATGTTGGATCAGTCGGTGTACATTATTATTATTATTATTATTATTATTATTATTATTATTAAGGCATTCGTAATCACTGGAATGAGTGTCCAAATTGTAGTTCAAAAAATTCTAAGGTTATATCAGTGGTCTAACAACTTAAGCAAACCAATACTATCGATAAACAGAACCGTAATGATTCTTCATTAAGGGCCAGTATTGACCTTTTTCACTAAGCAAAGTAAGCGTCCATCTACTTGAGACTGACAATCTCGCTTCGTTTATCTTTGTAACAGTTGTTTTTTTATCGAAATGACACTATCCATCTGTCTAACTACAAATTCTACAGTGAAGATGTTTGTAATCGACATAGCTTTATTTAATGAATTAGTAGTTGACGTTATGATGGGAGATAGAAAACTCGATTATTATCAGATAATCTATCATGAGTAAAAAATTTTTTGTTAGACACATCAAACCCAGGTTGTGTGAAGATGTCTGTCTATCGGATCTTCACAAAACAAACAAAATTTTGTGATTTATTTGAATCTTTTTTCATATTAACAGACTCAAATCATTTGGTGAATCACTGGTCTGTTTCTCAAACTATCAAAAGTTATCCAGTCAACTTATTGTGTGGTCAAGTGAATTCTCTTCTCGTATGCGATTATTTGGTGAAATGGCTCAGTCTTTAGGATTAAAATCATCCGATACAAATATGATTACTGCACAAAACCCTAGTTTATTAAAAGAAATTCTTAAACAGTCTGATGATTTACTAACAGATTTGCAAGTTAATTCAGATGTTATGGAACAACTGAATAAAGAAGTAGCTCATTTAATATCCTCATTAACTGTGAGTTATTTTGAGTCGTTTTTTCCATAATTATGACCAATAATCAAGAAAATGCTCATTGTTTAATCAGGTTTATATATATATAACATCGCCCGTCTAGATAGGGGGTGGATAAGCATACGTAACGTGTGTCCCAATCACCTCAGTTAATGATTTACTGCCTTACCAATGGAATTGCCATCTTTACCCAATAAACCATCCCTAACCCAGTCATCACTTGCTTGGTGGTCCCAAAATACACGAGCAGTGCTTCGAAGACACCTATGATCGAATACCCTCTACTCGTAATAGCCATGCTTCACCCAGTATGAAGTAGGACGGAGTAAGGTGATGCTCAGTAAACTCGTCATTTGGTTGACAGACGAATATATCACCTACGGCGCAAGAGACACAAGTTGACAAAAGCTAACCAAACCTTCTGAATATGTATCGAGATTTCATCAAAAACCAAATCATCAGTACTGATGAGACCCCCAAGATAAGTGAAGTGGTCGATGCTGTCAACTACTTCATTCCCCATCATTGATTCAGGTGATAACCTAAGCCAATCCTGAAGTAACATTTTGTATTTGGAGGAAGAGGACCATATCTATGTTGTTGCTAAAGGTGGTCAGAAAGCCTAGTATTTGTAGGATAGTATTTCTGTTTTAAGCTTTATTTAAACTACTAACCAGTAACATCATTCCTTCAATTCATTTAGTGTTAAGCTGAGGTGTGTAGGTAGATGCAGACTACCAATTTGTAGTCTACTTGATTATCATAACTAATAGTTCGAAATGTCGGCTAATATAGCTTATAATCGTTTATTCATTCACTCTTTGTCTTCTATTGGATGTTAAGCTTCTCAATTATCTTAAATTTTTTTACCCCAGTAATTCATATTTTTCTGCATCATTCATATGTTTTATGATTAGTCTTTTGTACTACACCTAATACTGCTATTACTTATGCTACTCTGCCGTTCCTCTGTTCTGATTTCGTGTGGCAAGTTAAACGAATACATATATGTATTATTTTGTACGTTGTGTTTGATCGACCGACTGATCAGTTTTCAATCATCACTATGAATTCAATGTCTCTTCGAATCCTTCTACTAATCATCATCATCCTTACTAACAAAGTGTTACTTTAAAATTCATGGCTATTTTGACTAAAAGGGGTTCTTTCTATTAATTTCCTCATTTTTATAAATGTCTGTTTTATAGAATTATGCGCAACATACTCAAAATTATCGTGAATTAGTTGAGAGTGTGTTTCAGAAAGCTGGTGGTTCACGAGATTATCAATGGTCACCAGGATATGGTTTATTCGATATGGGTAGAGTATTACAAACAACTGATCAGCTGAATGAACAATTTAATACACATTCTCGTCGTATATATGATATAGTGAATTGTTTAAATCGGGTAATTTTTCTGTTCGAATAATAATAATAATAATAATTTGATCAGCAAATATTTTGTTACTGTTTGATTTTAGTTGTCAGATGACTAATATTTGCGGATTTCAGTGTTCTTATTGAAACATTCTAAATAGAATAACGGTATTTCTTGGTTATGCACTCATTTTTACCCTTTTGTAAAATTATGTTTGGCAAATACTATTTATGATTTCACACGCCTGTCATTAATGACATTATACAGAACCTCGTGTGAGTATGTATCAACTCACATTGCCGTATTTCATATCACAAACCTGAAAGGACGAAAAGTGGTCGTGCTTCACGCAAACTGTATCAGTGGATACGGAGCGTTCACCTAGGGGAGTTGGTACACTCTGACTTCAAACCAATCGTATACATGGGCTCTAGGATCCTGAGGGAGTATGGACCTGTTTTCGGTCACTGTCTGCCATAAAGCAACAGCTCCTGATGTTTCTCCCCTACAGATTAGACGTTTAGGTCATAGTCTTTGGATGTGGGCCCCGAAGAAAAACACCTGGTTAGGTTTGGACTGGTGGATAGTATCCCAGCTTACATACAAGTATTTTTCTGTGACGCATACTGTTTTTGGTGCCTAGTTGTACCAGATTTTACGTCAGTTGAATAAATAAACTTCATATCACCATAGAGAATAAGACAACTAACTGTTAAGACCTTTATGTTCAAGTTTCGCTCCATATACTTCAGTTTGGACATCTGAGTAGTATCACTAGCCTTCATTTACAAGTAGTGTGGATGAAAGCCAAATGCACAAACTCTCATTAGTGAATTAGATTCTCTAAATATATTCAATTAATCATATTTTGTAAGACGCTTTTAGATATCTCTTACCTTAATACATCAGACTTTTTATTCCCATCTTACTGAAATAACAAATATATGACCCTTTCGTTGTATGTCTGACTATTTATGTGTACTGAGAATAAGAAAATTTTTGAGCGTAGAGAAGACAAGTCGATACTTCGAAAAATTCAAGCCTATTATTAGTAAAAGATGGACATACTTTTGTTTTCACGTAATTCCTTTTATTATTATTTTTCCCATCAGCTTCTGCGATCCGAAGAACCTATCTCTATGAATTTATCTGGTCCAGTTTTTGTAAAGCCTTATCGTGAACTATACATAGGCAAATGGCCAAATGAATTAAACAATTGTTTAAAGGAAACTCAATCGTCTTTTTCTCCCTTGGTATCACGATCAAAGTATCAAGAAAATGGAAAAGACCACACATTACCATCAAAAGTTGCAAATAATTCAAAAGATAAAAACCATTCAGATTTATCGTATTTTAATCAACTAATCGGGGAAAAGGGACTCAAATATAGTGTATATCTTAATGATGTACGAAGTCAACCGGTGTGTTTACTCCCAACTGGTTGGGAAGCAGCTACATTGACTACAATATCCAAAGCACGTGAATTATATGGACCAAAAATTTTCCAACTACTGGTGCATGGTTTGTGACTAATTTAGCTGGTGAGAATGAAACATATGGACTCGGTGAAACTATTTGCGTAGGAGATGCACTACGATGTGGATTAATTGATTTAGTTGGGCATAACTGTCATCAAAATCGAAGTTCACTTGCCATTTCCTGGTCTGAAGCTATTGATCGTGGTTGGTTAACTGCCTATACTATTCAGGCTTTAAACAGAAATATAAAAATTGGTGATTATAGTGCATCTGTAACAGATTTTTTGACTAGTCCTTCGCGTAACCCTGTCGATCGTCATATCGACCCAAAGACTGGCGTAGTCATGCCATATGGCAAAAAAATTATTGATTTATACTCAGATGGATTCATAAATGAGGCAGATTTTCATCATTTAGCTTCTATTCTATGTAGTGGCATGTGTGTAGAATTTCGAGATTGTCACTTGACATGGTATGAAGCCCTGAGCATTGGTCAAGCAGATATATCTTGGAAACCTTGTCTATCTGATTGGTTAGCTGCTGGTGCGTACAATCCAAATACACGACGTTTACGTGTCAGTTTACTAAAGTCTGGAAAAGTTAATAACAAAAGTAAAGCATCGAATAATTCATTAGTGTTTACTGAAAATGAGTTGACAATCAGAGATGCAATTAAAAATGGACTTTTGGACAATACTGTCCCAGAAGTCATTGTACCTGTTGAAAACCAGGTGGGTGGCTACCATGCTACCTCTTATCGACGTGTCAGTCTGTCTGAAGCTGTTCAAATAGGTCTTGTTGATGATGTATCTGGTTATTGGCTCGGGTCAAGTTCATCTTCCAGTCGAACGAAGGTTGGTGTGGAAGTGGCTCAAGCTGCTGGCTTATTAACTAAAGCTCCTTGTCTAGCTGAAATTGTTTTATCTGGTCTAATATCTTTTACTGCTCCGAACATGAGTGAGAAACATCCTAGAAACAATGTGGGTATTCTTGATGCCCACACTGGTCAATACGTATTGTTTCCAGAAGCAATTAAACGTGGAATGATAGTTGGAAATCAACCAGCCATAATTCTTATGCAATCCCATCCCAATCAAGTATTGACTTTAGTCGAAGCTCTGAATACAAACCTAATCACGCCGTCCGGATTTATAATTTTGGAAAACAAACCTATGAATTTGTGGGATGCAGTTAACAATAATTATATTCGACTTATATATACTAAATCGTATCCACCGCCTGTAGGTTTATTACTGGGTGCTAAGGAATCAAATCAGACGCATCGTCAACATCCTATATTACAAGCTATTCTTACAGGACTAATTGATTCATCGAAAGAGGAGATTATTCTTTCTAGCACAGACCCACGTCAACATGGGACAAGCTCTTCGCAACAACGTATCTCTTTAAGAAAATCAGCTAAGCATTCAGGATTGTGTGACTTACACTCTATACAGTTATTAACTCAAGGATGTGGATTATTCAATGAAGATGGTCGTGAGCTAACTGGTTTGGAAGCACTTAACTGTGGTTGGTTAAAACCATGTGAAGATTTTCAATTCGGTTCAACTATAACATATGGACAAATAACAGATCCTATTAGTGGGTCGTCTATAATATTATCGCCAATATGAAGACAATGGAAAATATTGATATATCACCAGTTGGGGCTCAATTACTGTTAGGCTTATCTATCAATCGTCCTTCTTTGGCTTATTTAATTAATCAACGTTTTATAACACGTTTAGCATGGCTTGGTCCAGGTTTACATAATGATAATTTAGTAAATAAAACACTGAATGATTCATGGTTCACACATAGCTGTCGGTCTGATGATATATTAGCTGTTATGGATCCAATTAGTAGACGTAAGATCACACAATCAGAAGCGATTCGCCGTCATCTACTGGACATGGAGACTGGTACATTTCGAGATCCTGTTCATAATCAAATTTATCCAATTAGTGAAGCAATAGAAAAAGGACATATTTTAGTGAAAGAAAAATCTCTTATGGTAAGTTATAACTTTTTATATGTTTTTTTATCAACACATATGTCAGTATTTTTCATTTCAAGCTATTCATTTAAAATAAATTTGTTTAGAAATCTTTAAAAATAGAAATAATTTCCCCACATTTTGCAGTAAAAACCTAATTTATTGATAAATTGCTATTCATTAATACAAACTATCATAGAAGTATAAAGCTTCAATATATTTTTTCGCAGTGTAAATTATTTGCCCTGTTTAATCTGATTCAGATGCAAAAACTTACTATGAAAAATAAGCTATTGGACACTATGTTTAGATTGTTGATTAGGTTCTTTGCATATGATAAGGGTCATCAACATGACTCTTCTCCAAGCATTGAATTCTAAAGTACTAGTGAATTTTTGTAATATAACTATATATTACTAATGAAGTTTTACTTCGAGAAAATTAATGGGATTTAAATGATTTTTTAAATTTTAACGGAAAACTTATAATGAAATAAGCAAACAGACGGAATACTGATCTGTTAGTCGTTTTCTTTACACTATATTAGTTACTTTCATACTCCCAATGATGTTATTTACTTTCTACAATTCTCTCATTAATTTATTTTCAAAATTGATCAATCACGGTATTTTGTAAAATATAACTGAATAGAGATGTATTATGAATCTTCTTTTTCTCATAGTTCAAACTACTTCACTTAATTCTGTTCAATTAACCCCATTAATAGGAAGAAATAATGGTGTTTTGAAGAATGAGTTGAAACCATATACTGTGTATTTCTTTCCAATCACGAAAAAATTAACCAATTTTTGAGTTTTGACGATTAAATGGATTGAAAAAAGACCAAATTTGCGTGATTCGATTACACTGAGATCGATTATGACGAAGTGTGCATTTGCAGTGGGGATTCGCTACATTTAATAATGTGGATACTATAATAAATTCTTTCATGAAATTCATCTCAAGAGAACGTAGTAACAGCCCTATTTGTGGCTATAACCATTTGATTTCTAAATATTGTCTTTCAACTCTTTATTATTAGTCAGTAATAATGAAAAAGTATTTAGGATAATTTATCTTCTGCGGTCATTAAGTCAATAACGATGGTTCATTTATTCTAAATAAGCAGAGGACAGTGTTGACCCTTTAAAGTAGTTGAAAATAGAACATTGGATATGCTCTTAGGCTTAATGCGTCAAAAAAATTATGTGTTTACACGTTTCTCAACGTTTAACCTATAGAAGAAACAGAGTGAATATTTGTATCATTTGTATTAACAATGTAGTATCTACTTATTATTGTTCACTAAATAACCTATTCTTATGACTGACATAGCCTAATAGAATACATCGATTCATCAAGCTTTGTTCTTACTTAAATTTTATTTGTCACTCCTACTTAACATAACCTTTTTACTTCAGTTTGACAATGTTATTGCTTTTGTTGACATGAATGATCACGTAACTCATTATTCTAATGCATGTTTATGTACTCGATTTTGAGCTGTAGGTTTTTTCTCTGTGAGAGCTAATGTTACATTATTGTCGAAATTTGAATCTGCGATCTACTGGTTTAAGTGTAAATCCTTGAACCACTAAATCACCGTTCCACATGAATATCAGTTGTTGTTTACCTATATTAAAAAGTCTTTAGGAAAAAAGTTTTCTCATAAGTGAACATAGTCTGTACATCATAATGGCCTTTTTTTAAATAAAAGGTGAAAACTTCATGTTTGTGTGTGGATATTCGATTAATCATTAGGATCGACGAAAAGTGTTGCCGAGTGATGTTTATCAGTAAAATCTTGATTATGGACACAGCCACCCTTTCAAAGGATAGATGTCAAAAGACAAAATCACTATCGTATTTTATAACAAAATGATAAGTGTTTATAGAATGTTTAATCCCAAAATAAGGATGATTAAAGTTCACTTAAACATAAGTAATTGAATGAAATATGATTTGTAGTTCGCTCATTTAATATTGTGAGCATTATGTTTATGAGTATGATATGTAAAGTATAGTTACAGTTTTTAAAGCAGCCCGAATCGTTAACTAAGTGTTAGCGCCTAAACTTGGCTTGAAGCTACACTTTTCAGATGATAGCTACCTCCCTGTTTGAATCGACTTATGTAAGTTGGATGTGAACATGTGACCCAGTGTATCAATATCGAGTAATGTGAGTATGATCAAATCACTTTCATAAACCCGTCGTACTTAACTAGTTATTACTACAATCTGTTATGAATATTAATAATTATTATCAATAAACATCTTATCGTCAAGAGAGTTAACTGTAATTGTAACAGTAATTTACCCTGTATCTCAGAAATTGTTTATAATCAATGAAACCTGTGCTTAAGTATCTATATCAGTAGCTGATCTCGTCATACGTCAATTATTAACAGTTATCTTTTATCAGAGAATACATTCATGGACATAGTGTTGTTCCGTATTACAAGCTATTGCATCTATTTGCAATATTCTGTCTATTTATCTGGTAGATTCATTACGAGGCAAACTTAAAGTTGTGTATAATCTGTCGGAAAATTGTAAAAATTTCAGAATAACAAACAGATACAACCACCAGAAAACTTCAATGTTTCACATTTGGGGAAACAAAGAGATCAGATAGGGGGGATTACTAATATAACATATTACAAGAATACAAACAGAAAGAGGTAAACATCAATGTCTACTTCATCTACTATGTTTTGATAAACTCGAAGATCATTTGTATAACCAGTTCATTCAGGTGGTGACGATATATTATTTTGCAATAAGACATAAAGTTTAAATTGAACGAAAGCTAAATACTCATTAATACGTTGAATAATGACAACTCAGATTAGGAAGTTTACTGTCTAACTTAGTTATAATACTAATAACACTGAACTTTTAGCTTGCTGGTATTGAGTATTAAATGGAATATAGTTGGTCCTTTCCTTAATCGGATTTATCTGTTTATGCTTAGTTTTGTGTGTCCACTTTGTGTTAACCGCAAGAGAATATTATTGAGTAGTAGCACAGAGCTGTAATCAGAATTGATTACCTCAAGTGGCGTTCGTCAGGGCTGTCCACTCTCTCCATTCTTGTTTAGCTTTGTCGTTGATATGCATTTAGAGATAAGACTTTCCTCATCTAAATTTCCAGGAGTTGAACTTCTACCGGGAGATTCACTTTCTGACCTAGAATACGCCTATGACACAGTTCTATTTGGTGAAGACGCTGACAAAATGCAGAGTCTTCTGATCACTCTAAGCAACAATCCAAGCATGTTCGGGATGCGATTCTCCCCCTCGAAATGCAAAATGTTGCTTCAGGATTAGGTTGCATCGACACCCGAACTAATGATAAGGAGTGAAGTAGTTGAGCGTGTCGACCTCTTCACTTATCTTGGAAGTCTCATCAGCCCTTGTGGTCTGGTGTGTGACGAAATCTCAGCACGGATACAGAAGGCTCGACTAGCTTTTACCAACTTGCGTCATTTATGGCGTAGGCGAGATATCCGTCTACCACCCAAAAGACGTGTTTTCTGCGCAGCAGCTTGTTCCGTCCTACTTTATGGCAGTGAAACATGGCCGGTAAGAGTAGAGGATATTCGTAGGTTACTAGTATTTGATCATAGGTGTCTTCGAAACATTGCTCGTTTATCCTGGGACCATCGAGTAAGTAACGCAGTTGTTAGGAAACGGGTACTAGGTAAGGATGGCAAGTCAATCGATGACGTAGTGAAACTTCATCAGTTGAGATGGCTGGGACAAGTGTTACTTATACCCAACGACCGACTGCCTCGACGTGCGATGTTCAATGGTATAGGAGTAGGTTGGAAGAAAGCTAGGGACGGCCAGACCAAAACATGGCACAAATCCATGAAGTCACTGACAAGTGGTCTGAGTCATGTTGGTAATTTTAGACTACCTGGTTGGGGACCGCGAGATGATAGCAACCGATGGTTAGAGACCCTGAATGACATGGCTGAAGATCGTTTGCAATGGCGCAGGTGAATACACTCTTTGTGTTCTTCCAAATTTTGATCTCCTTATTCCTCCTTTTCTCGTTTTTTTCTCCTCTCAAATTTATTTCACTGTATTATACTCTTTAAGTAACATCTCCAAACCCTAATCTTCCCGATTACTGCTTATACTCTTATTACCTCTACTACTACGGGATTTGAATCGACCACTGCATCTCTATGCTAATGTGGTGTGGCAACTCGAACTGATGTACGTACGTACGAAGTTCTACGTTGTTACTGACTGACTGAGTAGCACAGTAGCCTCTCGCTCATAGTTTATTCAAAACAACATTCTTCTTTACCTTTTAAAGTCAAATATCTTCAATTAGCACAATAATAGGTATTGTTTTAGCAACTAGTAAACCGACTTCTCTTTGATGGTTATTCAAATTTCCACAAATCGTTTTTCGTTGATTTGCTGGTGTAGGTATTCTAGTGATTACTTTGTGATAATCGTTACAGTAGGCCTCTGCTCACTTAAATACGTGGTTACCCGTTTTTTTTTAACAAATAAACTAGTGATTCGTAAGCGTAACCAAATCTTTTTATTTAAAGAAAATTGAGAGTGGTTGGATGAAGTAGCTCTCGGTGATCTGCATCATGAATTCGTTCTGTATGAGACTTTTGTGGCCCTGTATCTGACTCCAGTTCGATCTATGCTGATTGCTATTGAAATATTTATGCCACCAATCTTCCTATATAACTATCGACTGAAATCGCGTTAGTTAATAAAGGAATTAACTAAGTCGAATACGAGAATGAAGCTTGAATACGTAGATTTCGTACGATCGTTGATCTAAACAAACAATCAGAAAGACGGAGTGAAGGAAGAGAAGAGGAGAGAGCGAAGCAAAACGGATCGGAGAAGTGTCTTTCGTAAAGATCTTTTAGTGGCACATGATCTGACTCCAATTAGATCGTATGACCGATTGTTATTGACTTATACATGTAGGCAATCCTCACATTTAATTATCGACTTAACTCGCGTTAGTGAATAATG